ATGGAATATTGTAAAATAAAAATATTATTTCCTTCCGTACGTAATCCATATGATCTGTTAATATTAATATGTTGATATTGTTTGCTATCTGTTCACTAAACAAAATATTCTGCGAATTATTCGAATGAGCCAAGTAGTAAAGTTCATTTTTTATCTATCTATCTATCTATCTATCTATCTATCTATCTATAAGTAACCCGATGAAAAATAAAAATCCCTCATATAAATGTGTATTACTATGCCTTTTTTTCCTTTAAAAAATAATCATAATCGAGAGAGAGAAAACGGCTCAAACGATTTTAATTAAACTCGGTATATCAGTGTATTATTAAGTTTTTTTAATATTAGCTAGGTCTTATCCGAATTGATGTAACTTTACAGGGCTCAAATGTCCAATGTTCATATACGCATTCCTTTAAAGTACCTTTAATTTGGTTTATTTAAAAAAATTAAAAAAAATTTACTCTCTCTTATTGACAATAACTATAAAAAAAGGCCAAACATAAAGTATAGAATTTGATAATTGGAAAATGGAGAAAAAAAAGGGAAAATGTTAATTTAGGAATGAATTCGGAAATGAATCTCTGGAAAAACTAGTCAAAAAGTATACGTATAATCTATCGTTGGAAAACGAAGAATTTTAGAAAAAAACAATGTCTAATTTAGAAAGAAATGGAGAGTGACGAACAATTATAAATAATAATTTGTGAAAACTAATTATTTAACGGAAATCACACGTTTCAATGGAAATGAAACGAAACTTACTTACCAATTGTAAAATTTTAAGGTTTGAAAAAAAATATTTAAAATCCACCAAATTAAGGCAATGGCATTGTTAAAAAATCTATTTCATTGTACTTGTGTGAAATATAAAAATATTTCATGGCTGTTTAAAACATATGTTTATAACTTTAAATACATATATTGTAGTTTAATAACTCTAGATCTTATATTATACTTAAATAATTTGGTATACATCGTAGATTTATTTCAAATAATTTCCCTATGTGAAATCACAACACTATACACTTAGCGATGCTATATTTAAAACTAAGTAACTGTATTTTAATATGTTTTCCAAGACTAAAAATAATAATTTAAATATATGTAGAAAGTGATAGAGATTTAGCAACTTTCAAATCTCTCTTAGTCTATAAAGCTTCGAGACTGGAGTTATGTTATGCAAATAGACTGATGTAGTTGTATTTAAAGTTTTAATAGGCTACAATCGATATTATAAAAAGGATTTATGTTATTGTGACGGTCTTAATGAGTTTTTGTATTGATAAATATGACAGAAATTCAAAAATATATTGTTTAAAGTTTAGCTGCATTAAAAATGAGTTAAAAAAACTATTTGTAATAACCCAATTTCGCCAGACAAGAATTGCTTTTCGAAGTAGAGCGGTAACTGAAAGTTGTGAGATGCGCGCACCAGATTTTTTATATCAATTCAAATTGTTTTTTTTTACTTAAATTTTTGTTTTTTTGTACTTAAAACTACTTTTTATTTACTGCTTTGTTGACTAATTAACTTTTATTTATTCGTTTCTGCAAAATACAGCGTCTGATGTTAATAAAGTGTGCTGTGTCGTGATATGTTGTGATATGTTGTGATAGTACATGATTGAAAACATCATGCCATTCTTAAAACTGTGTACTATGAAAAAACAAGTTAAATAAAATGAAGTAAAAAAGTTGAAAATAAATACTTTAAATAAAAGTAGAAAAGACAAACCCGATTTTGTTGCTTCTGTTTTTGTTTTGTAAGATTTCGTCCACTGAAGCCTGTGAAACAAATCGGACCCTCCAGGCGCTCTATGGCCTGCGTAATAAGAGAAAAATTGTTTTTCTAGACTACTTTTTTTTTTGGAAGACATCGCCAGAGCCATTTATACGCTAAATGGCACTGCAGATGTCTTCCAAACTATTTCACATTCCTTGCCCGCATTAAACATTTTAAGTAGTAAAGCTTTTGTTTGTTTTCCATATAGTTTTTAGAACAGGTCTAACACTGTGATATATTATATTGATATAGTCGATTAAATGAATCGAGTTTATACGTCGTTATGTTTTTCTATTAGCGAATAAAATGGGGAGTTTCTGTGGTGGATCTACGGAGGCTTTCGGGATGAAGTCCCCCAAAATGGAAAATTGATTTTGTTTTCAATGATTGATATTTGTTACTGTGATTACCCTAAGCTAAATAGTTAAAACAATCAAAAAGATGTTTTATAATGATGTATATTCAGCCGCAGGCAGATCTACGGGAGGAAGAGGGTAGGAGCTTTCGGGCTAAAGCTCTCTTCTCCCCCTCCCCCACATGGTAAAATATAACCATTTTCTATAGAAAAAATATAAAACAATTATCTCTTAAATATTATCGTCATGTTTAATTACATTTAATAAAACTTCAAGAATCACTTAAGCACTATTTCACATTTACAGTTGGTTTATATATTTTTTTTCCAAAGTAATTAGTATAATGAAAAAAAGAATAATTTTTTTTTATTGCTTCAAGAATCATATTATATAAGTAGTCAGTATCTTTATTTTTCTTCCAAAGTAGTTATCGATTTATATAAATAATGCAATAAGAACCTGAAGCCTCCTAAAATTAAGTCCGATATCCGTTACTGTCAGTTGTGGTTACTTTTATAGGATTCTCTTAGGGATAGATCAAGAAATTTTCGAAGGGAGGGGTCGCACTTGTGAACCAAGTGAACTCCATACTTCATATTCCAGGTTTATCTTTATATACAACATTTGACCCGCGATATTTAGGTATATTTTGATGCTAAATAACTAGGTGGTATCGGTTTCTCAAGAAAATAATACTTATTTATTTTTAAATCAAGATTATTAAAGTGGCTTAAATTTGTATGAAAGCGAAATTAAACTATGATTTATAATATCTTCGTAACATTTATTTATAATATTAGTTAACTGCTAGCTATCTCTATTTAAGTCACCATGTTAACTTTGGAAGGAAGAATTGTTCCTCCACTTTATTCAAGTCAAAGGCTCGAACGACTCAGGATTCCCTGGACTTGTACTCCGATTTTGTTCCTTGTTTAAATGTGGAACCTCTGTTATACACAATTCAAATAGTTCCAATTTATTGTTTCCTTTTCTTGATTGCTTTCAGGCCTTCGGATCAGGGTGATTTTCCGAACTGCGGAGGTTATGGAAGTGTTATTTACGACTTTGAAACATCACGTAAAATATGTTATCTAACATTTTTTGTGAACTCAAGTTTTAGCTTTATTGAATTTCTTATAGTTGACTTTTTTGATTGTAAATATATGTTGAAAATATGTTTTTAAAAATAATAATGTTCCAAATGAATAAGTTGTAGTAAATGACTGCTGGTTCAAGATTTTACATTGTAAATTGTACTACTACAAATAGTTTAACATCGTAATAGTTTTCATTTTGTTTTTTACCACAGTTTATGGCTGAGAGCCTCAGTTACTACTTTATAGAAGTTGTTCCACTTTGATGGAATCATCAAGATCTTACGATCTCACTATAAATGAAATTTAGATTAGAGCAACCTGTTTTCTTTATTTAGGTCGGGATTTATGACTTCCGCCAACTCCCAACTAGGCTTTTTTAGTTGGAATCATAGCCTAGATTAACTTAAATTTCATCCTGATTTCAACTTCTGCTGCCTCAAAAGGAATTAATAAACTTCCAACGGGACTTTAGAGGACTTAGTTAAAGTTGATACATTATCAGACGGTTCGATAGAATACACTCCACCAAAATACGAATTTCATTAATAGTGTGATCATGAGATCTTGTACCACCCATAAAAGTGGAGAAATACTTGAAAGTAGCGCTCTTAACGTTTTTAATATATGTATATATATTAAATATTTTTTTCCCATTTAACATGTATTTTTTTTTATTAATAAAACTTTTTATGAAAGCAACTATATTAGTAAATAGTTCCACAATTAACAAGCATGATTCTTGCAAATCTCCATAATCCCACTGAATTGATTAGTTTACAATGATTAGGATCTATACCAAACACTATGGTCCTTAAACTTGTAAAAATGATATGAAAGGCTTTCTTGTTTTGAGGATGACAGATTATATGAGATCTTATCAGATTGAGATGCCACCCACAGGAGCATGATGGATCATTCACTGTCATGGGTAAATGGTATACTTGGAGTATTGTTGGAAAAAAAAAAAAAAATACAAAACATTTGAGGTAAAATAATTTTAGCATCTGAAAATATATTGAATGGAATACAATTCAAAAATATACTATGTCTTTCACATGATTTTATCTTTGATGTAATTTTCAGGAGTCCTAAATTTCTAAGGCTGCCTTGTTAACTTTTTTGTGACCTTTAGCCATTTTTCTTTCCTAATTGTGTTTCTATCCATTAGAAGTAAAATTTAATTTTTGTTTTCACACAGTTCTTGAAAACGCTTGGAATGTTGTTTCTTGTAAAGCCAATCTTGCTTGGCTTTATCGCTACTAGCCCTCTTTATTATACATTTACCGTACTTATACCACATATAGGCTCTGTTGTAAAGAGATATACTAGATCCTTTGCTAGTCAATGGATTATCTTCTGTATTGTCTGGTATGTCAGATTGTCCTGACATTGATATAACACTTGTGTTATTCTATTGTACAAAATTGTTTAGAGGTGTTTTGAAGTATTCTACATCTCTTGAATGTATAGCCTTTTCTTTCCTTTTCTTTGGTGTTAATTCATTAGCATTCAGTGTCTTCTCTTAACTTGTTCAGTTAGAAAGGATTCCAATAATTTAATTATTTAGCAGGTGGCCAAGATATTAGCAAGCTTCAGACAAAACTCCTTTCATGCTTTAATGTCATGAAGAATAATATAGGTTCATTATGTTTGATTATTTTGTTGAAAAAATTAAAAAGTTATAAAATCTTCCATCTTAATTATTTGATGAAAAACTTCAATTTATTCTCATTTTTTTTTTAATAAATATATTTTTTCTGTAGATCGCGGGTGTGGGAGGAAGGTAGAGGAGTGTACTTCATGGAAGGGGAGACGGAGTGGGCCCGGGCCGAGGGCCCACCTCTTCTGAGCCGCCGCCTCACTGACCAAGCTGTCAAAGTTGGCACCCGAACACGACTCTTAGTTGAGATAGCCAGTTCATCTCCGCTTACTGTAAGTTATACATTACCCATAGTTTTAATATCTTAGTAATTTAGCTGTCTTTTTTGTACTTGTTCCATTTCATTTTTCTTAATTTTTTTTATTTGAAATGTTAGTTACTTTTCAGCATTAACATGGTTTCTCAATTCATATGAAGTTTGTTGTTATAATTTCCAAGAATACTAACCAATTTAAAGTAATCAGTCAAGAGTTAATTCCTTTTTTTTACAATTTTTAGAACTACACACATTTTTGCAATTACTTCAACACTTCTTCAGTGTTTGATGTTAGTAGTTTATCAATTATATGCAGCAAGGTGCTAATTGATTATCTTGGATGTGGTGTCATGCCTTTCCAGATATTCCTTCCCTTTTAGCATTTTAAAATCCATGTCATATATATATATATATATATATGCAATTATTGATTTATAGAATCCAGATTTGTTGATATTCTTCTGATAACAATTTTGCAATTACTTGATCTCGAATAACACTGATGAATGTTGTACCACTTTTTTTTTTTACTTAACAGTAAGTATTATTGAATCTTTCATGTCTTTGGTTTTCATTCATTGTCAACTCTTTAATTGTTACATTCTTTCGAGTAATAGATACAATAATCATGACCATGATACAGAGTGCACAGAAGAGAGTTTCATGGGGTAAAATGTGGCATCAAAATTTTTGAAGGGGAATATATTTTGACGGATATTTAATTTTTAAAGGCACACATTTTGACAGGATATGAATTTTCAGAAAGTAACATTTCAAACCAGGGGAAAACATGGAAAATACCACAGCAAGTATAATTGCATATGGTCTACGATTTTTTAAATTCTACATTTGCTTACACTTTTTTTAAAAAGAGGAGACCAATAAAGTATCTTTGGAGGGGAGAGGGAGTAGGTTCTTGAGTCATCGATCTTGGGGAGGATTTGCACCTCTACCATGAGAATTGCATTGAGTATTGCCTTGACGGCTCAGTTGACGTGAGAACCATTGTTGAGTATTTATTTTCTTTATTTAGCTTCTTGTTTTTGATAAATCTAATTGTTATTCCACTACCTGCTATTTGTTACAAAAGTAATAATGATTTACTGAAATCTAATTCTTTTGCAATCACAAGCTCTTTTATATGTTGATGATGTTGTTTTGTTTCTTATCATTCATGAAAAGTCATAGTTAAAGTTAAGTTGTAAATAAATTGGCAGTAGAGCTTTGTAGAAAAGGCATAGAAATAAACTCTCTCAAAAGCAAGGTGATTCTCTTTGAATGAGATGTGGAAGACCTCATTCATATTATATGTAACAACGAGGCTCTAGGGCAGATTGCTCATTGTTACATATAATGTAAAGCAATTATATTTTAGAAGAGAAACAATTAGAGTGGTTCAGCAAGGTGCACCATGGGTGGCACTTACTTAAAAAGCTAATTGATTCCTGGCAACAAAACCAGGGTCAGGCCCAGGCTGATGTACCAAAACTACATAGAGAGGCTAGAGCCAGAGGCAGCAACAGGATGAAGGTGGGATTAAAAGCCGGTGGGCAAGGTGGGCCGAGCCTGTTTTCCATCCTAATGGAAATAGTACTGCAGTATTAAATCCTTCTCTATTATAGGAAAAATAAATACCTATTAAATTAAACGTAGTTTGGTACTTTCTATTTTTAAGGGTGTTAAAGGTATGTGGATGATTAAATTGCATGATGAAAGGCATGAAGACATGAAGGTAGCTACAGAAAAAATACCTATTTTGTAAGGTGGTAAGTAGGCTATGAGCATACCTGCATATTTTGCTTTAGGTGCTAATTGGAAATGAACGTCAAACATATGGTAAATAAAATTTGATGGTTCTCAAAACCTCATCAGTTAATATTAGTATTCATAATTATTTATTTATGTTTATTAGTAACTAATCCTGTTAATAATTGGTAATTGGTTGACTGTCGTGGATAATGAAGAGCAGAATAGTTGGGGTGCTCAGTCAAAAAGGAAGGCAAAAAATATATTATAATATTTATTTTTTACATATGCCGACGTTTCGACCTGAAGTTTTTATTTTTTGCCTTCCTTTTTGATTGAGCACCCCAACTATTCTGCTCTTCATAATCCTGTTAATAATACTTATCTATTAAATTATGACATGTGTTTACAGGTGGTCTGGTTACATGAGGGTAAGAAAGTTGAAGAAAATGAAAGAATAAAATTAGTAAACGAGGGAAATTTTTATTGTGTAGATATTAGTCCAGTTACATTAGATGATGAAGGTATTTGGAAATGTCAAGGGCATAATGCCAGGGGACTTGTCACAAGTCAAGCCAAACTCACTCTTGTAGGTATGTTCCCTAATATCAATTTAATACTGCTATTTGTTTAAAATTGTTGTAATTCGGATCTACTTTGTCATGTATAATTGTAGTTTGCCAGAAATTGTTTATTGCATTCTGTGTTAATATTAATTTAATTAAAAATAAATTGTTTTTTCTTATTTAGTTCCCAGAGCTTACAAGAAACCAGAGTTTGTGGAACCATTGAAAGCAGTACTTGGTTCAGCAGGGACTGTCTCCTTGGAAACTAAGGTTATAGGTGTCCCAACACCAACTCTCAAGTGGTATAAGGAAGGAGAAGAAATTAAGCCTGGAGATGTCCTTGGGCTCACACCAGACCCCCTTGATCCCACTCTCGGCACTTACACATGCATTGCAACAAATTGCATGGGCTCAACAGTTTCTACCTCCCGGGTCCACGTCGTCTCCCCAGCCCAGCCTAAGATGGATCTTGGGTTAGCATTTTGTTTTGTTCATAAAAGTATCATTAAAAAGTATTGTTAACCTCCAAAAACATATTCTTGAAACCATAATATTTCTATGCAGTCTTCCTTTTACAAAAACCTTATCCAATTAAACAAAAGTGATTTATCTTTGGATTTTTATTAGAATCGTTAATTATGATGAAATTTATCTATGAAATTCATAGCTATTAATATAGAACCTTTAAAACAAATTCAACAGTCCATGTTCAATTACAGAGTAATGAATACATAAAGAAAACATCAACTATTTGTTTTATCATTTTCTTTTTTCCTCACTAGACTTGGGTTTTGATTAAGAAGATTCCACATCAAATAATAGTGGAAACAATATAGATGATTAAGAATCAAAAAAGCTATAAATTGCCTACTAAACTATTCAAAAATACTGATTTACCAGCATAAACACATTTTTATATTTTATGAATTTTTGTGTTGTTAGGTTATCTACTTCGGGTCCAAAACCGATCTTCGCTAAGGAATTACGAAACGAAAAAGTTAAAATTGGAACAACTCTATCACTTGACTGTCAAGGTTTGTAATTGTTACTAAAAATCATCATGTTTTCGAATTTGCAATTTTGATTTACTTATTATTTATATTACAATCAATAAAACATGTATCAATAGATATATTTGATTATCAGGAATAAAATATTTGGTGAGTATATAACTATACTCATGTAGTTTCTGAATAGTTCGCAGTTCCTACACCTTCACTGTTCTTTTTCCTGATGTTAACTGTCTGAATGTATTTTAATTTTTATTATGTTTGGATAATTAATTACTATATTACATTTTTGGAATCATTAAAAAAAGTATTTTGGTAGCTTTGAAACACAAACACAGGGTTTAAAAACATGTAAATACATTTATATAATAATAATTTACTGTACCTGTATAATATTTTTTAGCTAAATTTTATTTGGTGTTCTGTAACTAGTGGTATTAAAAACACATGAACACCAATTTGCTTTCCACTTGAATTGTAAAATATCGGGCCATTTGGTTTGACCTACACCCCAAACATGTCAAAATAACAAGTTTATCTAGGCCGAATAGCCCAATATTTTTGTAGGCAACTTTTTTCCTCAAATTAGTGATCAAATTATCTCATGATTCAAGTGAAAACTTATAGATATTTATGAGTTTTTAGTGCCTCATTATATTAACTAATTTAAAGAGAAAGCGCTTCATTTCTGGGAATTTTTGTGGGTATAAAAGTTGTAGGTTATGATAAGATGAAGCCATTTACGAAGCTTTAGCTGGATTTTCCATGGATGGTTCCAAATTGTCCCAATTTATAGTAGGGTCATTCCATGTCAAATCATTCAGAAAATGTTCAATTTGTAACCCACCCCCCTCAGATCTTAATGTAAATTTGTTAATATTAGGTGCATATACATTTAAATAAAAATACCAAATTTTAGCCAATTCTAACAACTGTTTTCAGAATTATGGGCTTTTAAACTTTTGAAGTTGGGGAGACTTTTTGGGCTCAAAACCAGCATGTACCTGTTTGGTTTTCATTTGCAAAACCAATATTTATTGACCAAGAGCTTTCAAAATGTATTCATTTGTCATAAATTTAATACAGAATCTGCTGAGAGTTTTAATGTTATAATTTTTCTTCATGTATTAAAAAAATTCTTGAACATAAAATTTCAAAATAGTGATAAAATATCTAAAACTACCTGTAGCTAAAATCTCTCTCCGAATACCCCAATACAACCATATATTATTATTATATGAATTATCATTGTAGTGAAGGTACCCCCATGGCCTGACAGAGTATCTTGGTATAATAGCGTAGGAGAAGTCAAAGAAGGGCCAAGAGCCCATCTAATGGAAGATGGTATGGGTGGCTATTCTATCAGGGTCAGCCCAATCCAGGCCTCAGATGATGGAATATGGAGATTTGTTGCGACCAATAGGGGTGGATCCACTTCTGTTACTACTTGTAATGTTTCCGTTTCACGTGAGTAAATGTTTTATTTTTATAAAAATTTCTGTCAAGCCCTCATTGAAAAAAAATATGTTAGACCTTTCAGTATTTTATGGCTATTACTGTACTATTCATAATATTATTCATTTGCAGACCCAAAAAATTACCGTAAGCCAAAGTTTTTAGATTCTCTCAAGGCAGTTTTGACGGAAGAAGGCTTAGTTAGTTTTGAATGTAAGGTGGTTGGTTATCCTACTCCTCTGTTATCTTGGTTTAAAGATGGACAAGAACTCAAACCAGGAGATGTATATCAACTTACAGGAACTAATTCTTTAGGTAACATTTATTAACATTTACTTATTGTTCATATGTTTCTAACGATTAAATAAAGAATATAAAAGGTTGCCATAACACTGACGGTCTAGTCATTTTATGTTTATTAATTATATTTATAATTAAACTTAGTATTGTTGATAATTGAAACTTACTAGAGTGATAATACAGCATAGAATATTTGGATTTAGTTTTAAGATAGAATTATGGTGTCTACAGTTTCTAGTTTCCTTAGATTAATAATAATAATAAAAGGCTTAGCGACCCGAAGGTTTGATGCCGACACCACCAATATTCACACCTCCCTCCTCCTTTCGCCGTCCAAACCCAGTCCCTTCAGATCGGCTTTAACACAATCTTCCCACCTTCGCTTCAGCCTACCCCTCGTATGTTTACCATTCGGTATACAGCAAATATTAACTTTTTAGGAATTCTTTTGTTGCTAAGCCCAACAGTTTTACAAGCCCATTTGATTTGCCGCAATGTAATAATTTATTTTATTATTACATTAACCGGATATAGTTTACGCATTTCTGTGTTGTGTAACTGTCTAAACTCTCTAGTTAATTCATCCTTCTTTGGTCCGAATATTCTACACAATACTTTATTTTCAAAAACCTTAAGACGTTGCTCATCTCTTAATGTAAGCAGCCACATTTCACATCCATAAAGAACTGTAGGTAATAATGGTTTTATAGATTCCAGTTTTTAAGTTCAGGGAAAAGAGGCGCTTGCTAAGTAGTTTTGTCACAGAAAAATAACAAGCATTTCACGCCTTCAGCCTAACCTTAATCTCCTCTACCTAACCTTTTTTTTTAGTTATTGTAGATCCTAAATTCCTAAACTTCTCGACCTGTTCAAACAAATTACTTTCTAATTGTGGGTTGATGGTTGACTGTAGTTAATAATTGAAGAGAAGGATGGTTGGGGCGATCAGTCAATACAATTATTTATTTTTACTATTTTATTTTGACTGATCACCTCAACCATTCTTCTCTTCCATATGACTTTCTATATTGATATCACCAGCAATATCACTATTTTTGCAGCTAACCATATATTTTGTCTTGTCCGTGTTTATTTCGAGCCCTAGTTCTTTACCAGCTTTCATTAACATTGTTGTATTTAGTTTTATAGTCTCTGTTTCTTCACTTAACAGGACCAGATCATCACAGGTGTGGTTCCACCAGGATCCAACCCTTTTTCAATACACATTACAACCTAATAGTATGTTATAATGCCAAATTGAACAGGGCAGACGAAAGGGAATCACCCTGTTTTAAACTCAAACTTTTCGAATAATTTATTACCGATTCTAATTTCATTTAGTGTTTCCATCAAGCACATCCTGATTCGTATAGAATAGAATAGAATCGCAAGCCTTTTTGAAATTGATAAACAGCTGGTGAACAATACCATAGTACTCCAATATTTTCTGTAAAATCAAAAATATTTGATCAATAGTTGAACGGTTCTTTCTAAACCCGTATTGGTAGTCACCGATAATTTCCTCGGAGTGTTCCATTATTCGACTAGTTAAGATTAAAGTGAATATTTTATAACATACTGGAAGGAGTGAAATTCCTCGATAGTTATTAAAATCCATTCTCGGACCCTTTTTGAATTGGAATAAGAATAGATTCTTTCCATTCTTCAGGTAATTTCTCATTCTCCCAGATCTTTTTAACCAACAAATCTATTTTAGAAACTCCAGCTTCTCCGTATGCTTTAACTAGTTCACTAGGAATATTATCGGTTCCCGCTGCTTTATAAGATTTTAATTTTCTGATAGTTACTTCAACATCCTCTTTACTCAGTTTTTCTATTAACAGTTCAGCACTCTGGTACTCAGAAAGGGAACACATAAACTTATTTAATATTTCTACCAGTCGGGCAGAATATTGTTATTTTCATCCCTAATTCCAGACATGACAGGCCCTAAACATTTATGTCATCTGTTGTAAATAACCTAATAAAGTTAATTGTTAAAGAGTCTCTGTTCGGGCGCCAATTTTAAATAATCTAATAAAGTTAATTGTTAAAGACCTTTTTTGGCAGGAATAGCGAATAGCCTTCCGCTTTAGTTGGGGAACTAGGTTATTTACACTCTTGATTATTAAAACAAAACCCCGGCACTTGATATAGACTTTTTGAAGGTGTTTAACTGTTGTTGGGGATTCGGGAATCTGATACCTTTTTGTGACACTGAGGGAGAAGAAACAATAAGAATACATATATGAAATGAGACTTAGTAAATATACTTTAAATAAATTGACTCACCTGATTTGTTATTCTTCAATTGTGAGGCATATAGGACAACTAAATAAAATGACTTTTCCCTCCTGTATAATAAATAAAAATTTATTTTAACAACTGTAATAAATTAATAACTGTAATAAAAGTCTTATAACTGTAGACTTGATTTCTTAGCCTTCAATGTAGTAGGCCTCTCTTCCCAGATGAGGTCTTCTCGTCTTCATGTCCAGGCCTCAAGTGCCTGGCATCCTCTTCCAGCTGCTGCTACCTGACTGGACCTTTTTCCTTCTTCATCAATTTTTTATCAATATGAGATTTTTCAATAAACAATTTGTCCACTGCACAATTGAGTACAATTCACAGTGCAACCTCACATTCCTATATATTATATATTCCTTCTCATACCCTCACACAATGTCACATAAAGGAGTAAATACTGGGGACTGTCTACTACACTGTTTATACTTTTGTACATGTCTCTTACGTTATTTTTGATTCTATTAGTTTCAATTTCTATAATTTTATTTTTAAGATACACCCTTTTCTTATTTTTGAGCAATTTTGTCGTTTCATTCTTTGTGGTTCTGATATCGAACCTCTTGCAGAGCCACAATATCCAAATTTTACTCAGTAACCTCATTCACTACCGATTTTAACCCCCCTGATGAATTCAAACTCCTTATGTTCCACGTACCAATACTTAAATCTGTATTTTTCAACTCACGCCATGAATCTCCTAAAACAGTCTCCACCCAGAGACCCAAACAGAGGACTAATTTACCTCCGGATAATGAGCGTTTTATTTTGGTGAGATCCATGACTATATGTGGTGTATGGTGAACTAAAGATAGGTGAGTAGGGCGTTCAATCCAGGTGTTCAGCAAGTCTGGAGGTCCCCTCTCATTGCTGGTCAGCAAGTCCATTGGACTTAGCCAGGAGGAACTTCCAAGGAATTTCCACCGACCATCCCCACATCTGCCACCTGTGGGACTGATTTAGTGGTACTGATTTACAATAATGATAATATGTAAGTAACAGTAAGATAACAGTCAAATGAAGTAACGGCTCTGAAATATGAAATTTTAATTTTCTTAGATTAGTTAAATATAAATTTATAGTGTGTTTTTAAAGAGCCTAACCAATGAATTTATATTTATATAATTAAATTTATAAAAAAAAAATTGACTTCACTTGCTCAACACTTGGTAAAAACGTCTTTTTCTTCTATTCTATAAGTGGGACAAGAGCATATCAATCTATGACTAGATTCCTCATCTTTCCATTGCTTTTCTGTGAAAACTTATTATTTTATCTATGTTATTATAGAAATAGATTCTAGTATGTCCTAGGTTCTTCTTCCTTTTTATATTTTGATTGGACAGAATGAAATGATTTTAAGAAAAAATAAGGAAAGAATATTAAGAAAAGGAAAATTATTTTTTTCCTCATTTTCATCTTGGTTTTTTTTTTAGATTTGAACCATCAAATTTGTCTCATTAATATTTAATTTAATTAATTACTTGCACAGGTTTAATAACATCCTGAGAAAGATTACCACCTTGTTTTATATCTTTTAAATGTATTAAACCTCTTATAGAAATGAGAAGATAAATAATGCAATTATTTTTATTGTTAGCTATGAGGTTTCTGTAAGAGATTTATTGGATTTTCTGACCTAGGTTCCTACTGTTGCATTGCCCGTAACTGTATGGGAGAAGCAGAAAGCACTGCTGTTCTTACAGTTGAAGATATTCAAAGCCAGCTTACTGAAGAAGAAAGACTACAGCTATTTTCAGACAAATTACCACCCAAATTTATACAAGGTCTGAAAAGTGTGGAAGCGAAAATTAGTGAACCTTTCTCATTTTCAGTCAAAGGTAACAATTCAGAATTTTTAAAATATGCTGAAGTAATTTCTACTCATCTTATTTTCTCATCTATATATTTGCACAGATAGACAATTTCTTTTATTTTATGTTTTTTTTTAAGGTTAAGAAAAAATTAACCTTTCATCTTTAATTTTTGTATTTATTCATATTTTACTTATTGGAACTAAATTTATTATTTTATTGTCATTTAAAAATAAGATTTGTACTATCTGATTTTAAAATCAAGTTTTGTCTGACATAAAAAAAAAAGTCAAAAGAATAATTATGAATGAAAAAATGAAACACTTTTTTTATGTTTAATATTGAGTATTTCCACCTCTGGCACAAATAACATTTGATAAACATTTTTACTTTCATTTTTTTTTCCTATAAAATCTTTTTATAAAGACAACTATTTCCAATTCTTAGAGAGATCTGGGTTAAGACATCGTACTTGTTGCTTAGCTTGGTTCCAAATATGTTTGATCAAATTTAAATTTTGACTTGCAAAATGGGCACACCAAGATCTCAATCCCAATCTCTGTATGGTATTCATCCGCAAGAAATACCCTATCCTCAAGATTGTTCTGCATAAGCAAGAATCCTTCAGTGCTGTATTCTATGGGTATTGCTTATGTTCCTCAATTATACCTTCTAAGTATCCTTGTGAAATAAAACATTTAAGGTTTTAGCATCCAAGGTAATGCCACTCTGGAGTGATTGATGTTCAGTAACATCAGTATTCTATGATGGATTGCCACCTGAGGAACCATACAAAATGAGGGGTCTACACCTTCATCTGAAATTTTGGCCAAATGGAGGCCATATTTGAGGTCAGGTCATCTGTTGAAAAAACTCTCTTTCAGTCTTCCCATGTCTAATTCACATGTTCATGTGTACTCTGAAGCTGTGAGCCATTTTGTTAGATGTCGAGAGAAAAGGTCCACAAGTCAGGTGATAGGCCCTTAGGTTATTATTGAGCCTTCTTCTTACAGTTCTGGTGGAAATTGATACATTTCCAACCCGTTTAATCAGATTTCCTATCTGATTTCCATTAACACTGCAATTTCACAGAGCCTGATGATGGCTGTATCTATTATCTATTATCCTTCATCAATCCTGTTTCTCTGAAGATCTGAAAAAGATTCTATTGCTGAGTGATTTAAATCCAGTCTCCTGGCCACTTAATGCTGGCTGTACACTTTATAATAATTTTATGGCCTAATAATGTGATATTGATTTACATGAACATAGATATGCGTACACACATACACGTACACTAAAGTTACAATCAATTCATTTCATATCTTGTATTAGAAAGATTGTTTATTTAATTTTAGGTTTTTCCACTTATGTTGTGTATCAACGTTTAATAATAATCACTCTACGTTTCTCAGACTATCCATGTTTATTCCTTAACAGATGCCATGTCCTGTCCTCTCCATTTTTTTAAAACTTGTCTTTGATTTCCCCATTTTTCCTCCTTCCTTACTAAGATACAAACTTGAAAAAGATATAATTTGGTCTCTACTATCAGAAAAAGATTAACTTAATATCTCCTGTACCAACATGATTTCCTCAGATTATTTTCCAAATAAACTTCTTTTAAAATTTTCTTTTTTATGGTTTGCTATTCATATATATCTTCTTTATGGTTTGTTTGAACTATTGCAGTAAGTGTTTCACCGGAACCAACAGTTCTTTGGTTCAGAGATGATGAACACATTGATGAAAGTGAACCTAGATATAAACTTGAAAAAGATAAACTTGGTCTCTACTCTCTTCACATAGCCAGGCTTGAGTTCGTTGATCAGGTTAAACAATCTATTAATTGATCAGTTATTTAAGTTAAAAATTTCTATTAGAAGATTACTAAATTATTTTATGACAACCTTTATGAAATAATTCATTTGAATATTATTTCTACTACAGTCCAATCTCGATTATCCAATATGCACCTTACCTGTGATGACATAAATGAAGGATTATTTGTTCAAAAGTACATGCAGAAATGCAAATTTACTGACTAACTAAGTTGTTTTGTGCAAAATACTTACAGATCTAGGATTTAATTTTGGGGGACTTCAGCGTGAAAACTTTTTTTATATAAATATAATGATTTATTTATTTATAATATAATGATAATTAATTTGGGAAAAAAAAGAAAGAAACTATATGAAATGGTGCATAAGTCCTATTAAATGTAATTACATGAGTAATAATAATATAAGGGATAATTTTTTAATATTTTACCATAAGGCATGGTTATATTTTACTATTTTGCAGAGGGGCTTCAGCCTGAAAGTCTCCCCCCATAGATACACCTGTGTTGCAAAATGTAATAAAAGATTAAAAGAAAGTATTTTCTATTGAAAAAAACAAAACCAAAATTACTGATTATTTTCAAGAAATGCAACTTTTTTTTGTTTTTATATTCATTCACAAATTCATTTCTTGTTCTTATTGTAAATTAATTTGTATTTTTTTGTGAAATAATCAATTGTTTACTGGTTCTATAGCATTTATTTTAGATGTGCATTTTCCACGAATTTTGGTCATTCTACTAATCAATGTACTCAAATCTCTGGATAATTGGGAGTTGACTGTACAATGAAATATTCATAATTTCAAGTGAAATAAATTTTTATGTGTTTAATCTTCCCCTTAGGCAGAATGGAAATGTGTAGCCATGAATGATTTTGGACAAAGTGTAACATCCTCTTATCTCAAACTTAATATTCCGAGACATTACAAAAAGCCTAAGTTCCTGGAAGAATTACGTGCTGTCCTTTCTGATGAAGGGGCAGTTAACTTGGAGTGTAAGGTGATTACAATATTTACTGATACAAATTATCTATCTTTAATATTTTAATTTTTTATCATTTTTTTAAACTGGTTTTGGATTTATGTACCTGAGGTCTGAGATGTGTTTTTTTAAATATTTAAGAGTATTTGGTTTGATGTCAGGTAATTGGTGTACCTCAACCAGTCCTAAAATGGTTTAAAGATGGGAAAGAACTTAAACCAGGAGATATACACAGAATCATTAGCGGTCAGGATGGTTCTTGTTGCCTTGGCACGTACACATGCATGGCACAAAACTGTATGGGGACCGTATCAAGTTCAGCTTCACTTCTAGGCTTCCAAGGTATTGTATTTTTTAATCACATTAGGAATAGAATTAAAAAAAAAATATTTTTCCTGAAATTTCTATTTGTATACACTGTTTAAAAAAAACATTGATTTCTATACAACTTCTACTGCTACAATTACTCTATTAGAAAAGTTACTGCAAAAAATATTTAAAATTTGACAGAAATAATTACTATTAAGACTCTATTTATAGGTACTAAAAAAGACCAATTATGCATGAAAAAATATCCAAAAATGCAGTAAAACATGAAGAAATACATTAATAAGTGTTTTTACCAATTGTGCATTCATGATAAGCACCTACAACTGATCTTTATTTCTTTATCTATCAAATATGTGACATATCACATTTTATCTGTAGCTGAGTGAATCTAATTAAAACTTAGTTGTAAGTATATTAATGATTTTCATTGTTACTTTGAATTGTTTTATCTACAGACAAGGGTATTGTTGGAAGTGGAGTGACTCCTAAAGTACCTGAAAAAACTAACACCTGTGTAAGAGACACATCATTGTCAACCATTCAAGAAGAAAGGACATCACAACTGCATGATACAGATAAATCACTCACACTTGATGATAGACCTGAAGAAGTTTCATTTTCATTTGATGGAAGAGAAGTATCAGTTTCATTGTATGAAACACCAGACTTGACCGAGGAAGAAGCCCTTCAGATAGTAGAGATGTATGCAGATCAGATTTCAGAACATGTTTCAGGTAATTGTTACAGTTATCTATTAATACAGGCCTAGTACTAATGTTCAATAGAAAATAATTCTTTGCATGAAAATAGTTTCTCAGATTTTAGTTTTCAAAATATACTGAAGAAAATTTGGTTTAATTGTCATTGTATCAAAATGTTCCACTTATTAAATTATATAATGCAACATATCATTAATAATATAATGCAACAAAATACAATCAAAATCCATAAATAAATTAATGTGTAAAATATGTAGATGAGTATTGGTGGATTGGTTCAACTTCACTTTTTTACTTAAAATTTATATAATTCCTTGAAGTTACATGCTAAAGTGTCTGCAACATTTGTTAGTTAAATGGTTTAAAGATATATTCTTGATAATTTTTTGGGAAATAAATTTTAAGTGATTATTATTTTTGGCTTTCAGAACATAATGTTGTCGAATTGCCTCCTATGAGGTTTACTAAAGAAAGTTCCACATCTGGAAAATTGCTTATGGAAGCTATGGTGATAGATGTTAGCCCAGATTATTTTACTCCAGGAGAAGTTGATGACTTAAGAACCGATGCTGACTTAGAAGAATTCAGTCTTGTTGAAGAAGCTATGGTGACTCCTGAAGAAGAGAAAGCAGATATTGAATTTCCTTCTTCCCCTACAAGGCAAGAGGAAATGCTTCAATTTCCAGGAAGAAAGATATCTCAACCAACACCTAAGGAAGAAAAGAACAAACGGAAGAAAAGAAAGTCTACTGATTCTGATAAAGAAGATGATTCGCTTCAGGAATTTGAAAGAAGGAAAACAGAAAAAAGACCATTTAAGGAAAGAAAAAGAACTGAATCTGAAATGGAAGATGATTCCTTATATGAATTTGAAAGTCGTAAGGTTATAGGCCAGAATGAACCTAAATTAGTTGAAAATAAAAATGATCGTGCTGAAAATGTTTCAGAATCATACATTGAAGTATTTGAGTCTGGAGAAAGGCCTTCATTGTTCAAAACAGCAGAACTTATTTCTCCAGGACATTCCAGGCGTTCCCTAACTGAAGATGATAAGACTTACAATACCGCTGAAGAATCTGCTTTTGATAAGAGTGAAATGTCAGTTTTAGAAACTTTAGCTCAATCATTACAAGAAATTCAAAGAGGTCTAGCATTTGTAGAAGCCAAAGTTATTTCAGAATCACAAGAATTATTATCACCTGAAGCTTCTATTTTAGAGTCATTAGCTCAACCGATTGCAGAAGTTCAACGAAGTTTGGAAGTAATGGAAGAGAAGTTAGATGAAGCTCTTATAGGGTCACAAGTTTTAGAGACTCTTGTCCAGCCGATTAGTGAGTTTAAGAAAAGCTTAAAGATGATGGAAGAAGAGGAGGCCTTAAAAAGAAAAGCTTCGAGTATTATGGAATCTCTTGCACGTCCATTACAAGAGCTTGAAAGAGAAATAGCTTTGATTCAAGAACAATGTTACTCCCAACGTCAATTATCTTCTGAAGAAAGGTACGCCAAATCAGTGGAAGAAGTTCAAGAAACTTTGACAAGGATAATAGAAAGGCAAGAATCTGTACCTCATGACAGAAAATTGATGAAAACTATATCTGTAGAATTACAAGAGTTAGAAGAAACTGCCAATGATGACTTAGAAAAATATTATGATAGGTGAGTGTTTAGTTAATCTATGTCAATTTCTTTTTGAAAATTAGTTCATTTAAACTCAAAGAAAAAATCAATATGTTCCTAATGTATAGTTCTGTTGACATGTTTATTTATCTTTTTTTGTTTATTTTAGGCTTCTTGCTTGCAGTTCAGAACTGAGAAAAAAACTAAACGATGAACATGACCAGGAAATAGTTGATATATTACGATCAATGGGTGATTTAGTTAAACCCCTCAAACGTCTTTCTGCTGTAACATCTAAATGTATTTCAGTAATTGTCAAAGATTATGAACTAGGAGGAATGCCTTCTGCTAAATTAGTGGAATCCTTAGTAAAACCATTAGAAGCTCTGAAATCATCTTTGGATTTACTGGAAAGTGTTAGCAACTTGAAAAGCCACAGAGCAATAAGAGGAGTTGGCATTCCTTTGTTGTACAAAATGTCAGTTCCAATGGAAGAACTTCAAACAACTATTAAACTTGTCGAAAATCTTTCTGCCCATACAGCAGTTGAATTCCTTGTTGCTCCTCTAGAAAATTTAATAAAAGTTGTTTCGACAATTGATATTTCAACAGGAGGAGAAGGATTCCTAGAAAATTTAGGAAAAGAAGGACCTGACCTTCTCAAAGGTATCAATAATTCATTAAATACCATCAAGAATACTATGAGCTCTATTAAAGCCAATTCAGAAAATGTTGAAAGTGAAAGAGAGTTAATTGAAAAATTGCCAAATATTGTGAAACCTATGGAAGATCTTCAAAGAAGTTTAAAACCAATTCAAGAAAATATTGGCGAAGATTTAAGTTATGATGAAGTATGTGAAGTGGCTCAGAACCTCAGCAAACCACTCCAATCACTACGATCAGAATTATCCATCTTACAACATGAAATTGAAATTGAACATTATGGAGACATAACAGGCGAAAAGAAAAGTGTATTATCTGAACTAATTGAACCACTGGAAGCAGTTCAAACCAGTATAAAATGTTTCCATGAATCAATTTTATGCAAAGAAGATCCCATACATTTACGTTTTGTTTTATATGCACTTAAAGAAATGGCTGAACCGTTTAATATTTTATGTTCCAAAGTCACTAAAACTGAAGAAGCAATTTTACAAGGAAAAGTATTAGATCCTTATCAAGGATTAAAAAATGTTACAAAAGCTGTAAGGGAGCTTAAAGAAACTTCTTCATTGACAAAAAAAGACCTTCCTGTAGTTCATGGAATATCATCTACACTATCTAAGCCTTTGGATTTAGTAGAAAATGGTCTAAGTGCTATATTAGATGAAGTATATTACAATGACAAAGGAGACTTAAACATTAACATGTTGAAAACTTTAGCTGAACCCTTTATGGTATTACAAAGTGCATTGCTAGATATAGATAGTGAATCGCTAAGAAGTGAAAATGAATTCCCTGAACTGAAGCAAGCTATAAAAGACTTGCAACGCTCTGTTTTAGTTATTCAGGATCATGTAAGCTTTGAGTATGGTGACGAGCCTTCAACGACAGAATCTAATATAGTAATGTTAGAATCACTGGTTCAACCTTTGCAGCTGTTAAGATCTCAGATCAGTGATATTCAGCGAGCATCTTTAAGAACTCTGATAAAAACAGATAGAGTCCTTACTGACATAAGAGACTCTTCTAAAGATATTATTGCAGCAATAAATGTTCATAGTGAAGAAAATGATCCTCTTTCAGAATTACTAAAAAAATTAGGAAAAACTGTAGAAGAATTGGGAATAGCTGCAGACATACAAAATATTCAAATAGGTCAAGGGCAAATGTTGGATGAAGCCAGGGGTAATATGGCCAATATATTAACGGCAGTTGCCACTTCTTTTGGAGAAACATGTACAGAGGCGGATGAATTAAGTACTCAGCTGAATACGGAACAAAGGAAAACATTAATTTCAATACAAGATATGATTCTTGACTTGAAAAGTTCTGTGGAAACTGCTGTAGAAATAATGGATGAGAATAAAATTGGAATTGAACAACATATGGCAACTGCTTCAGCATTAGAACAAGTAAAGTGTGCCATGTATGATTTCAATCATTCATTTTCCAGTATGAATGAAGTTCAACCTAAGCCACCTAAAAAATCTATAAGTATGGATGAATTAAAAGATTTTGTAGTCCAATTAGAGAGTGATGTAAATTTGGTAATAGACAAGATTTCATCTACTGTAGATCGAAATGTAGCACAACCTGTTCTCGACAACATATTGGATGATGTGAAAAGTGTTAAGTATGCTGTGCTAAAAATGATTGAGGAAAGAAATTTAGATGAGAATAGAATACAATATGTATTAGAAAAAGTCAAGTTTATTGAAAATGATTTAAATGAATTATCACAAAACACATTAGAACATGAGTATATTCCTTTGAATGAGGCTTGCAAAACTGCTCAGGCTATTGTTTCAATGCAAGATCAACTAATCCCAAATTCAAGAGATGAGTATGATTATCATGAAGTAATTGATACATTAGTAGAAAATGTTAAATGCCTTGAATCAGTAGTGGGAAAATTGGAACATGATTCCAATGAAGCTCAAAACGATGATAATCTTGTGGCAATTAGTGAGAATCTGATGATACTTCAAGAATGTATTACTCCTTTAACTTCAGGTGAAAAACAAATGGAAATGTTACATGAACAATTAAGACAAATGAAATTACCTATAAAAGTTATTGAACAGTCATTACACAATATTAAAATAGATAAAGAAGATATGAATGAGGCTTTACAGGCACTAATTAAAGTATCTGAAATATGTATTAAAAAAGATTCATCCACAAAATCAGAATATTTTGATTCTAAAAGCCTTGAATCAATTCATGTTACATTATTGAATACTATCACTGAAACTATTGAATCTATGAGAAGTACGTTTAAAGATATTAAGGACAAGAAACCTGTGAAACTAGCCTGGTTTATTGATTCTTTTGAAGAAACGTTAGTTACATTTGGAAAAGAATTCAGTGATAATATAAGTAACTTTGATGAACCACAGGTAAGGCAAAAATTAATTGAATGCATCCAAAAATTAAAAACTGAAATTTCAGATTTGAGAGTCCCGGAATCTGGTCCACTAAATGAATTGAAGAAAGCTGTTATGTCACTTGATGCTGCTATGATAGAACCCCCACAGCAAATTTTATCTGCCTTACAAAACCTCGTAAAACCATTAAAAGCTGTACATGAAAACATCTTGGATGTAAACTCTATTAGAAAGGAAGAATTTAAATGTGTGGAGGATTACTCAAAAGTAAGCGGCGATTTGGAAATAGGATTGATAAAATTAGAGAAAGCTCTAGTTACTTCTGAAGAACTAGATTTCAAAGTCATGTCAAAACCTTTAGAAATTCTATATAGTTATGCACAGTCTATAAATAACAATCCACTTTTTGAATTTACTGATGAAGATTCAAGTATTGTTCAGTTAGCTACTTTATCTGAACATATTGCAGAGATAAAAACATGTTTAGATGAAATAGAAACAACCGTAACAATCCATCCTGGAGACAAAAAGAAAATTGAGGCTTTACTTATAAAAATAGCAAAGCCAGTGAGAGAATTAAAACATAATGTAGCTCTAATACAAGAGCAGGCTTTACTAACAAATGTAGAGTTGAAATCATCAGAACTCGAGGATTTAAAAGTAGCTGTGGCTGTTGTTTGCTCTCATATTGAAGAAGATAAGTATCTTAGAGCAATTCTTAATCCAGTTTATGTTCTAAAAGAAAAATTAGAAAAAGCAAGTCCAGAGAGTTTTAATCCTTCTGATGTAGTTAACCCTGTGAAAGAATTGAAGATAGCTCTTGAAGAAATAGAAAAAGAATCTATTGCCAAGACAGAATTTAGCTATGAAATGAGAACTGCTGAGCCACTTTTGGATCTTTGCCATAATGTTATTCAAATAATTGAAAATCGGGTAATGGAAAGTTTGGGGCCGGAATTAACACATCTGGTAGAACATCCTAAAGTTAAAAATATACCAGATCAGCTTGTTAGGGCAGTGCCGATTACTGTTGAAACTGAACTTTGTGAGGAAGAAAAAGATGGCAAGGACAAGAATAATGAATTATTACAGCCCATTGAAAAGAAACAAAAACAGATAATTCATGATGAAGTGTCAGTTTTAAAGCATGCAATGACTTGTGAGTCTGTCTCAGAAGTTGAGGCGAAAAATGAAGATAAACTTATCAAAAACATTGAGGACAAAAACAAGGTGTCAGGAACGATAGAGAAAAATTTTGAATTAGAACTTAAGGAAAATAAATCAGCTCAAGATACAATTGAGGAATCAGGTCCTTTGAAGGATGATATGGCAATCAGGAAAGACGAAGGCAAAACAGTTAAAATCTTAACAAAAGACAAGGTTGATGATACTGATTTAAACAATGAGAAAAAAGAAAATGTTGAATTAAAAGCAGATAATGAAGAAAGAATTATTGCTAAAGAATTTGAAATTAAGGGTGAAACATGTAAGGACGTTAAAGAATTGAAAAAACCGAGCACTTCTATTGAGGTTAGCAAATCAAAAGGAAATAAAGAGAAGAAACCTAATGATCCCAATCAGGCCCAAGAGAAAGAGGAGGAAACTATTTCATCAAATAAACAAACAGCAGAGTGCAAAGATATTTGTGATGACACTTCATTAATAGAAAGTATTGTGAAACAAGATAGAACATTAATGAAAGAACAAAATGAAAATTCACAAACAAAAGCACTGAACAGTAAGACAGTGAAAGAAGAAACAGAGGTTAAAAGAGGAGCTAATATTTATAAAGAAGATGGAACACAAGATAAAACTATTAAAACCGAAGTTTTAGAGGGCAAACAATTTTTAAATACCGAATATAGTGAAAAACCTGATGAAATCAAAAAGTCACAAGATGCAGAAGAAACCATTAAAAAACAAAACAAACAAGATAGTGATTTGGAAATTGAAATGCAGTTAAAAATTGATGAAATTGAATGCATTGATCCAATATTAAAAGAAAATAATAAAATAGAAGAGACTGGAATTGACGATAATAAAACTAAAGATGTTAATAAGGATGTGCTGCCGAAAGTATCAAAAATGGAGAAAAAGGAAGATCTACATTTAATGGTTAGCGAACAAATTGAGTCAAAAAACAAACAGACATGTTCCATCGGTGAAAAACTGTTCAAATTAAGAGAATATATAAAACAACTTGAAAGTGAAATAATTTCTTCGATCAGTTTTATTTCTAAAACCAATGCAAACTTTTCAGTTAAACCAATTCTGGAATCTGTTTTAGTTGATATAAAAAGCATGGATAGAGTTGTTGAAAAACTGTTGCAAGATCAAAAAGTGGATTACACAAGATTGAAATTTATTGTAGATAAAGCAAGGTTCATAGGAGAGGATTTAAAATTTGTTGTAAATAGTAATTTATTAAAAGAAGAATGCCGTACCCTCAATGATGCTGCTAAGACTATACAAGATATAATGTTATTACAGTTGATTGGAGAAGATTCAAAAGAGAAGGAAGCTATTAAGTTTGATGACAAACCTACTGAAGAAGTGGAAATAAAAAGAAAAATTACTAAATCAGATATTGAAAAAACTGAAGAAAACCTTAAAAGCAGATCAAAAAAAGACATGCAGGAGAAAACTAAATCAGAAAGTGACACAACTTTTGTAAAAGAAACAATGGATAACACGCTAAAAGATTCAAACATGGAAGCAGATAAGTCTAACCAAAATATTCTAAAGGATAAACTAGAAACTAAAAATGTTAATTTGAAGGATGATCAACAAAATCTTAAAGTGGCTGATAGCATAAACAAAGAAGGGGAATTATTATTCATGGATGAATTTAAGGAACAAAAAAATGTTGAAAGTGTGGAAGTTAGAGAGGAAAAAACAGGATCAGTACAATATTCTTATAAAACTGATATGCAAAAAAGTAATGAAGAAAAACTAAGTGATGTGAAAGAGGATTATGAAATGGGAAAACAAGGAACGGATATACCAAAGAAAAGTAAAGAAGAAAGTCTTGAGGAAGGAAAACAATTTATTGAAAAAGAAGAGAAATTTAATAAGGCAGCTGAAACTAAAAATGAAAAATCTGAGAAAGATAGGAAAGATGAACATGAAGCAAATATGGCAACAATTAAAAAACAACTGGGAAAAGATAAGGATCAGGTAAAGAAAAAAGAAGACATGACTACAATGGAATATGAAACTTTGGAAGCAAAGAAGAAAATACCTGATGCAAAGAAGGGGTTGGAAACTGAGAAATCAGATGAGGAAGAAGCTAAGAAAAAAGTAGAAACTGAAAATTTAGAAGAGGATAAAGCTGAAATGGAGACAAGAGATGATATAATTTGTGAGGAAGAAGGAGTTAATAAAAAGAAAAGTAAATCAAAGGAAAATATAGTAGATGCTGAGAAAGATAAAAATGAGGTGGAAGAAGAGTTTAAAAAAGTAGCTGAAATTAAGGAAATGAAAGAGGATGAGGAGAAAATTATTCAGTATGGAAAAAAATCTATACTTGATGAAGTTAAAAGTGAAGATGTAAAAACCCGAAAAGAAGCTCAAGATGTCCGGAAGAAGATGGAAGATGACAATAAGGTGGAATTGAAGGCTACAACTACAACAAAAGAATCCAAAGAAAATGATAAGAAGGAGGTCAAAGAGAAGCTTATTCAGGAAACAGAAGTTAAAAAGGAGGAGGAAATAAAAAAGAAAAAATATGAAAAAGAAAAATCTTCTGGAGAAGCTAAAACGGAGTTAAAGACAGAGGATAAAATCAATGCAAAAAATGATGTTGAAGTTAAACAGATAAAGGATGAAGAAGAAAGAGGTAAAATAGAAACTGAAGCTAAAAATGAGGAAGACAATATAGCTAAGAAATGTGCCAACAATAAAAAGGATTATGAGGGAGAAGAAAAGGTTAAAATAGAAGTTGAAATTAAAAATGAAAAAGAGGAGACAGAAAAGGCCAAGGAAGAAGCTGAACTAATAATGGAAAAAGAGGAGGATAAAAGAGTTAAATTAGAAACTGAAATGAAAAGAGAGAAAGAAGAAAAATTTAAAACAGTAGAGGAGGCTAAACAGAAAAAAGACATTAAAGAAAAAGTTAAAGTAGAAGAGGAATCAAAAAAGAAAACAGGGGAAGTAGAAAAAGTTAAAGTAGAAGAGGAAGCTGAGCAGAAAAAAGAAGAAGAAGAAGAAAAAGTTAAAATAGAAGATAAAGCCACCAAGAAAAAAGAGGTTAAAATAGAAGTTGAAGATAAGAAGAAAATAGAAGAAGAGGAAATAAAATTGAAAGCTACACGTAAAAACAAAAAAGGAGAAGAAGAAAAAGCTAAATTAGAAGCTGAATGCAATAAGAATAAGGAGGAAGAAATTAAATTGAAAAATGAGGAAGATGAAAGAATTAGAAATAAATCTGTAGACAATATGAAAAAGGATGAAGAAGAAATGGATAAAAAGAAAGCAGATGATAACATGAAAAAAGAGAAATCTGGAATAAAAATAGAGGAAGAACAAAAGTTCAGAAAAGAAGGTGAATGTTTGAAGAAAACAGAGGAAGAACAACAAGCTCAAACAGAAGATGAAATTGTGAAGAAGAAAGAGGATGAAGAAAGAGGCAAAAAGGAAGCAAAAGCGAAAATGACAAAAGAGGATGAAGAAAAAGCCAAAATGGTTGCTGAAGAATCTAAGAAGAAAAAAGAAGGAGAAGAAACCAAAATGGAAACTAAAACTAAAAACGAAACAGAGGAAGAAGAAAAGGCCAGAAAGGAATTAGAATCTAAGAAGAAAAGGGAGGAAGAAGAAAAAACTAAAAAAGAATTAGAAGCTGAGAAAAAAAAACAAGAAGAAGATAAGCTAAAACAGAAAGAGGAAGAAGAAAAGGCTAGAAAACATGCTGAAGCTAAGCAGAAAAAGGAGGAAGTAGAAAAATCTAAAAAGGAATTAGAATCTAGTAAGAAAAAAGAGGAAGAAGAAAAAGTTAAACAAGAATTAGAAGCTAAGCAGAAAAAAGAAGAAGAGAAGCTAAAACAGAATGAGGAAGCTAAGAAGAAGAAAGAGGAAGAAGAAAAAGCCAAAAAGGAATTGGAAGTTAAGAAGAAAAAAGAACAAGAAGAAAAAGCCAAACAGGAAACAGAAGCTAAAAAGAAAAAAGAGGAAGAACCAAAAGCTAAAAAAGATTTAGAAGCTAAGCTGAAAAAGGAAGAAGAAAAAGCAAAAAAAGAGTTAGAAGATAAAAATAAAAAGGAGGATGAAGAAAAAATCAATAAGGAATTAGAAGCTAAAAAGAAAAAAGATGAAGAAGAAAAAGCTCAAAAGGAATTAGAAACTAAAAAGAAGAAAGAGGAAGAAGAAAAGGCCAGAAAAGAATCAGAAGCTAAAAAGATAAAAGAGGAAGAAGAAAAAGCCAAAAAGGAGCTAGAAGATGAAAACAAAAAGAAGGAAGAAGAAAAAGTCAAAAAGGAATTAGAAGTTAAAAAGAAAAAAGAGGAAGACGAAATTGCCCAAATGGAATTAGAAACTAAAAAGAAAACAGAGGAAGAAGAAAAAAGTAAAAATGAATTAGAAGCTAAAAAGATAACAGAGGAAGAAGAAAAAAGTAAAAAAGAATTAGAAGCTAAGCAGAAAAAAGAAGAAGAAGATAAGTTAAAACAGAAAGAGGAAGAAGAAAAGGCTAGACAACATGTTGAAGCTAAGCAGAAAAAAGAGGAAGAAGAAAAAGCTAAAAAGGAATTAGAATCTAATAAGAAAAAAGAGGAAGAAGAAAAAGCTAAAAAAGAATTAGAAGCTAAAAAGAAAAAAGAAGAAGAAGAAAAAGCCAGAAAGGAATTAGAAGTTATGCAGAAAAAAGAGGAAGAAGAAGAAGCCAAAAAGGAATTAGAATCAAAGAAGAAAAAAGAGGAAGAAGAAAAATCCCGAAAGGAATTAGAAGCTAAAAAGAAAAAAGAGGAAGAAGAAAAAGCACAAAAGGAATTAGAAGCCAAAAAGAAAAAAGAGGAAGAAGAAAAAGCACAAAAGGAATTAGAAGCTAAAAAGAAAAAAGAGGAAGAGGAAAAAGCACAAAAGGAATTAGAAGCTAAGAAGAGAAAAGAGGAAGAGGAAAAAGCCCAAAAGGAATTAGAAGCTAAAAAGAAAAAAGAGGAAGAAGAAAAAGCCAAAAAGGAATTAGAAGCTAAAAAGAAAAAAGAGGAAGAAGAAAAAGCCAGAAAGGAATTAGAAGCCAAAAAGAAAAAAGAGGAAGAAGAAAAAGCACAAAAGGAATTAGAAGCCAAAAAGAAAAAAGAGGAAGAAGAAAAAGCACAAAAGGAATTAGAAGCTAAAAAGAAAAAAGAGGAAGAAGAAAAAGCCCAAAAGGAATTAGAAGCTAAAAAGAAAAAAGAGGAAGAGGAAAAAGCCCAAAAGGAATTAGAAGCTAAAAAGAAAAAAGAGGAAGAAGAAAAAGCCAAAAAGGAATTAGAAGCTAAAAAGAAAAAAGAGGAAGAGGAAAAAGCCAGAAAGGAATTAGAAGCCAAAAAGAAAAAAGAGGAAGAAGAAAAGGCACAAAAGGAATTAGAAGCCAAAAAGAAAAAAGAGGAAGAAGAAAAAGCACAAAAGGAATTAGAAGCTAAAAAGAAAAAAGAGGAAGAAGAAAAAGCCCAAAAGGAATTAGAAGCTAAAAAGAAAAAAGAGGAAGAAGAAAAAGCCCAAAAGGAATTAGAAGCAAAAAAGAAAAAAGAGGAAGAGGAAAAAGCACAAAAGGAATTAGAAGCTAAAAAGAAAAAAGAGGAAGAGGAAAAAGCACAAAAGGAATTAGAAGCTAAAAAGAAAAAAGAGGAAGAAGAAAAAGCCCAAAAGGAATTAGAAGCTAAAAAGAAAAAAGAGGAAGAAGAAAAAGCCCAAAAGGAATTAGAAGCTAAAAAGAAAAAAGAGGAAGAGGAAAAAGCACAAAAGGAATTAGAAGCTAAGAAGAGAAAAGAGGAAGATGAAAGAGCCAGAAAGGAATTAGAAGCTAAGCAGAAACAAGAAGAAGAGAATCTAAAACAGATAGAGGATGCTAAGAAGAAGAAAGAGGAAGAAGAAAAAGCTAGGAAAGAAGCTGAAGCCAAGCAGAAACAAGAAGAAGAGAATCTAAAACAGATAGAGGATGCTAAAAAGAAGAAAGAGGAAGAAGAAAAATCTAGGGAAGAAGCTGAAGCTAAGCAGAAAAAAGAGGAAGAAGAAAAAGCGCAAACGGAGTTAGAAGCTAAAAAGAAAAAAGAGGAGGAACAGAATTTAAAACAGAAAGAGAAAGCTAAGAAGAAGAAAGAGGAAGAAGAAAAGACTAGGAAAGATGCTGAAGCTAAGCAGAAAAAAGAGGATGAAGAAAAAGCCCTAAAGGAATTAAAGGCTAAAAAGAAGAAAGAGGAAGAAGAAAAAGCTCAAAAGGAATTAGAAGCTAACAAGAAAAAAGCGGAAGATGTAAAGGCCAGAAATGAAGCCGAAGTTAAGCAGAAAAAAGAAGAAGATGAGAAGTTAAAACGAGAAGAAGAAGCTAAGAAGAAGAAAGAGGAAGAAGAAAAGGCTAAAAAAGAAGCTGAAGGTAAATTAAAAAAAGAGGAAGAAGAAAAAACCCAAAAAGAATTAGATGCTAAAAAGAAAAAAGAGAAAGAAGAAAAAACCCAAAAGGAATTAGAAGCTAAAAAGAAAAAAAAGGAAGAAGAAAGGCCTAGAAAAAATTCTGAAGCTAAAAAGAAAAAAGAGGAAGAGGAAATGGCTGGAAAAGAAGGTGAATTTAAACAGAATAAAGATGAAGAGGAAAAAGCGAAAATAATTGCTGAAACTAAAATGATGTTTAATGAAAAAGATGAAATAAGCCAGGTTGTTCAAGTTAAGAAGATAAAAGAAGAAATAAAACCTATTCTGGAGATGGAGGCGAAGAAGAGATGTGAGAATGATGATAAAATCAATAACTTAACAGGAAGCCTGAAGGAATCTGATTTGAATAGCAAGATAGTGAAAACTGAAAATGAATTGGAAGTGGAATTATTTACAAATGAAAAATCTGAAAGTTTGAAGTTGGATGAAGTTCAGATTAGTATGAAAGAAATCAAAGATAAGGAAAAAGTAAAAAATGCAGCTGAAAAAAGATTCAGTTCAGAAGCGAATGTCAGACCGGAAAATCAGATTGAAGTAGTGGAACTTGATCCAGAAGACGAATTTTTTTGGGTTGGCAAAGGTTCATCAGGAAGTGCAAGTACTTATAGGTATCCTGGAAGTGATTCTGGTTATTCTGAAAATATAAAATCTTATCTTCAAAGTTCTCCTTCTAGTCGGAAATATTTGATTGATGGCAATTTGAATATTGAAACCAATTATATATCACCTAAACATATCTCCAGGAGTTCCTCTTATGAAGCTACTACAACTAATTCGTATTTAAGTCAATCTAAACTTAAACAATACCTTACTCAATCGGGCTCAGACATCAGAGAGGATTTATCTCCTAGAAGTTATGCTATACAAGATGATTATTCGAAAAAAGATTTTTCAGTTATTCATTCATCTAGACCTACAGAATTTCTCATGAAGGACTACAGCCATAACACTGGTTCTCCAGCTTTAGATTCTTTAAGAAGAAGGATAGAAAAATCTTGGAACAATTTGAACCGACATATGTCTCATGAATACTTATCAAGTGGTGTTAAACCTGATACTCTGTCAAAAGAATTTGGTGGTAGTGCTGATCAACTTTCATCAAAAGATATTTATAAAGATTTTCTCTATGTACCATATAAAGAAGACTTTTCAGCTCTTGCTCAATCTCGCCGTTACACTAGACGACGATCCGCATCCCCATTACCAGTGATCAGTGATAGCACAGCAATGGTCAGGCAACGCTCAGTGTCACGCTCTCGTTATGAATATCATGTAAGACTTCCTTATTTTGTTTATTTTCTAAATGTAATCCAAGTTTAACTGATTTATTTGCTGTTTCAAATATTTCAAATTTTGTGAGTCAAAATATTGATAGATGTTTAACTTTTGCAGATGATTTCGTTTAAGATTATAATTTATTAAATTTTTTATGGCATATATCTATCGGAAGAGGTAATATAGAAGTTCCAAAAATAAATGCGCCACCAGTTGTGGATCAAAAATCATACTTTACATTTATATTTTCATATTGTGATACTAAGGAAAATATGCAAATTAGAGATATAAAAAATGAGCAAAAAAGAAAACGAACCAATTTATATATTTTGATCATAAATGTGCTTTAAAGTTTTTTGAAACATGCTAAAATATGACCATAATTAACCAAATTCAAATATCTGTTGCATGCATTACAATTCTGGCTTACCACTCTACTTTGAACATAAATTATTTTAAATTGTACCGTATTGTTCCACATTTTAAGGAAAGTCACAACTCAACTGTATTTCACCTTGCCCTTTGATATCGGGTTACACAACAGTATCAGTGTTTGTTTATTAAAATGTTTCCCCTTTTGCAAATTTTGAGTACATCATAGCTCCTTATCCGTGGAGAATCATTCTGTAAATATGCCATTGAATACAGTGGTGATTTGTACAGGATTAAAAGGAATATGTTCCAAGGTTCCACCTTAAAAAATATATATATATATACAAACAATTTAATGATTTTAATAATTATTATGAGGCTTAGTCAATGTTTTAAGGAGTTGTCATTTAATCTTCTTTAAGGCATCAACAATCAAGCATTTATACTTTTACAGTAAGCAGTAAAACAACATTAGAACTTACTAGTTAATTGACACACACTGTCAGTCAAAAGTGTAAGACCACATGGTTATTTATATTAAAATCTATCTTGACCATTAAAAATCTCAATTACACGCAATTGTAAATACATAGTTACATAGAATACCTTAAATTACAATCAATTTTATTAATTAGTTAAACAATTATTGGAAAAGAAATAAAATTTGTAATTAATATTAGAATAAACAATAATAAAAATAAACATTAATAAGATTAAAAAAAAAATGTTTGTTATGCCTGCGTTTTATTTACTTACAGGCAACTCTTGTGGATGGGATTAAGAATGTTTCTAGCCGAAATTGATTTGATATTTGTTTAAACTTCTGTAACATGAAAAGAGTTTTAATTTTTAGATTATTATCGTTTTTGTATTTAAAAATAGGTAGAAAAAAGAATTTTCTGTCGAACTTCATAGAGCAATTTACACTCTACACCGAATACAAAAATCTGAGCATCAAATCAATGCAGAACTAAAAGTTTCATAAGCTGGAATGCATAATATAATTGCACGACATGACGAAACACTTTCTCACCTTGGTAAAACTTGATCAGGAATGTCACGAATAACATCCAAACAAGAGGATCAATTTATTATTTTAAATAGCAAAAGGAATAGAAGAGTCACAAGACTCATTTTAAATGGTAAAATGAAGACTCTGGGAAGCCAAATTATGTGACATGTTGGTACTATGAAACCACTTTTAAGGCCTTCTAATAATAAGCAAAGGTGTCAGTGGACACTTACAAGGATTAATAGTGGAGGATTGGAGGAAAGTGGTTTAGGCAGATAAGTCGTAAGTTCCAGGTATTTGGATCAAATCGCAGAATTATGGTTCACTGCAAACTATCAGAGAAGTTTATTCCTCAGTGCATAATTCCAATGGTAAAGTGTGAAGGAGGTTCAGTTCTTGTGTGAGAATATTTTTCAGTCTTTGGTCAAGGAGAACAAATGCAAATGACAGGAATACTCAACAAAGATAGGAACAAAAGGTATTTTAAAAGAACATACAATCACTTCTGGTTTCTGTTAAATAGGGTCTAGATTCACTATGCAGCAGGATAATGATCCAAAACATTCATAAAAATTTTGCAGAGACTATCAAACAAAAAGAAGATGAAGACGTTTTAAATCAGTTGGTCAGTCTCTCAATCCTCTCAGTCTCCCAATCCCAATCCAATTGAGTTGCTATAGGAAGGACTTGATAGAAATGTCTGAGATCATGTTCCATCATCACCAAAATACTTATGGTGTTGGAATGAGATTCCATTTAAAAAAATTGGATCAGCTCATAGAAAGAATGCCACGAGTGGTCTAAGCTGTTTTAAAAGTAAGGGAGGATATTTTGATGAAAACAAAAATATAGGTTCATCATGTTCTATTTGTAATTTATTTTGTATACATTTGTTTGTTGTGATGTTATTCTAATAATTAATTAGTTTAGATTAAACTTTGAAGAATTGGGGTTTTATTAAAAAAATTGAAGTGGTCCTAAACTTTTGACTGGCAGTGTAAATATTAATAGTAATTTCTAATTATATTCTTATTCTCCATTACTATGTTCATTCTTATTATCTATTTCTATAAACATTCATATTTTCTATTCCTATATATAGTGTGTCCCATAAGTTGAAGGAAATATTTATAGAAGTGATAGCAGACGTCAAAAGCTACAAAAATGTTTTTTAAACAATAGGCCAATTTTCAGCAGAAAAGTTGTTTGATCCAGGTTTTGTGTTTTTTGAAGTAAGTCATATTACTGTTGAATAGAAAGTGATAACTAAAAAAATATTCAAGTTAAGTAATTAAAAATTGCTTCACTCTAATCTAGACCAAATTTACTTCAAATGAATTAAATGGTTTTAATTTTTTTGTTTTAAAAGTCATAAATTATTCGCAATTTTTTATTATTGTAATCCAACTATACTACATATACTCCACTTTTAGAAAAAACTTCCTTATTTAATAAAATTTAAGTCCATATTAACTAAGTTAAGGTTTGCTTGGCAAAAACTTTAAATTAAAGTTATGCAAAAAATAAGGCAAATTTTTATTCTTTCTTCTAATAGTACTCATGTTTTCTCGGCTCGGGATAGGGAGGCTTGTCAGTCATGGATCAGGACACCTCCGCACTGAGAGGCACTAAGAAGGATGATGAAGAAGAAGAAGAGGAGTTGTACTACAATAACCATAATTGCCTAAATACATTTTTATTAATATATAAAAAGTTAAAAATAACGATTTTTCATGTAAAGTGGTTATGAAAATGTGTTTTTGTCCCACATATCTGTCATAGGAATCGATCCTTATTTATAAGTGGCAAATTTAATGTTCCTGATCCTAATTTAATCCTAATTCCTTTACGTTTTCATTCATCCTATTATATACGTTCAAAATAATTGAAGCAATCAACAGGTACATTTTTATTTTAAAACTAAATTTTAGAATAATAAAAAATTGCAAACAATTTATGATGTTTTAAAACAAAAAAATTAAAACCATTTAACTTTAACCATGACGAACTCTACTTTTACTTGAAATAAAGTTTGTCTAGATTACAGCGAAGCAATTTTAATTACTTAACTTGAATATTTTTTAAGTCATCGCTTTCTATTCAACAAACAACGACTTAAAAAAAACAACACAAAACTTGGATTTCCTGCTTTACTACTGAAAATTGGTCTATTGTTTATATGAACTTTTTAGTAGCAATTGATATCTGCTATCACTTCTACAAATATTTACTTCTACTTATGGGACATCCTGTATATTCATATTCTATGTTATATTGGAAAACTATTCTAAGACTTATTTTGAAATATTAGGAAAGACAACCATACATCTGCAGTCCTTTAAGAGACAAAAGAGTAGAGCATGGAGCAAATGTCAAATTGACCTGTAACATTGGAGGAGATCCTGAACCTATAGTTGAATGGCGCAAAGATGGACAGCCAATAGAATCTATCATTGACAGGTGACTGATTATTAATTATTTTATTAATAATCCCAGGTAGAATAAATATTCATGATTATTAATTTTAGCAACAGCTTATAAAGAATTACATCAGACTAGGAAATTCTAATCTAACCTCATATATTTTCTTACATCTTAATTTTCTTCCTTACTATCTCCTACTCCATCTTAATGGCCAAACTATTCACTTCCACACTTCCATTAGAAACCTTGGGGTAATGTTTGATCAACACCTGTTCTGGAATCACCATGTTTCTCAAGTTATCAGAAAATCCATCGCTATTCTTGAACATTTTCTGAGATTCCGTGATTCTATCCCTCTTAAAACCCGTCAGCTTCTAGTTTCCTATCTCATTTTTCCCAACTTTGATTATGGCTGCCTTGTATATGATGAACTTAAGTTTAGATTGAAAAGGCTAATGAATTGATGTATTAGATTCATCTGTGGATTCCCTAGGTGCTCCAATGTCTCCAATTGGTATTCTGAGTTGAAATTGCTGTATCCAGTTTCTTGGCGACAATATTTTCTAGGTATATTCCTTTACCGAATCTTTACAATAAAAAAACTTACCTTCTTAATTTGTCTACTCCCTGTTCTGCTGTCCATTCCTTGAACACGAGATATCAGCCCACAAACCAGTATATTCCTTCTTATTGGACAATTTATTTTGAAAAATCCTTTATTATATGTTCTACTTTGTTTTGGAATTCCTTAACCACCTCTATATTTAAAACCTCATCATTAAGTTCATTTAAAAACCAATTGTTTTTCCATCTCCTCAGCCATCAATCTGAATATTTATAAGAATTAAATATGTTACCATTCTTATTTTACTGTTATTTCACAGTTATTGTTTATGTTGCTTAGCGGGAAAATATATAAACACATGAGCATATTTACCTATAAATACAAATATATTTACCTATAATTTCACCATGTTATATGTATATTTAGATTAGTACTTTATTTTTATTTTAATGATACATAACTTTTTAACCTAATTATTATTTGCCAACCATTATCTGCGAGAAAAATCGATATTATAAAGTAATTGCCATTGTTCATGTTTGTTAATCTAAATGGCCCAGAATAAAATTTACTTACTTTCTTTCTTTTTTTTCTTTATATTGCTAATCAAGTATTAGGCCAGTAGGCATGAAGTGTAATTCTGAAACAATACATTTTGCTCTCTATATTGTATTGTTATTTTATTATAAAAATATTGTGATAAAAACATATTTATTAATTTAAAAAAATATAAATTTAATATGTTAATAGTAATATGTTAACATAAGTTATTGATAGGGGTTGAAATGTGTTTTCTGATCAGAAGATTTAAAACAGTTATAGTAATACTGAATTTAGAGAAAATCGTGAGAAGTTAAGAATGCTCTAGTTAACAGCTGGAAAAAGGAAATCATCCACAAAAATATTTTTATAAAAATTCAGATTTAAGAGTTTCGAAGGATGCTAAAAAATGAATCTAACTAGCTCTTTCATAACAAAAATTTTCTTTACCAACTGAAAGTGTCATTTGGTGTTTGTAATTGTTGATACTTTTGAATTCATTTAATAATATCAGCAATATTTGTTATTTGACAATTTTTCTGAATTTCACAAAAAAAAAAAAAAAAAAAAATCCTTGTAAATAGTCATTAAAACAAATTATATAATTAAAAAAAAAAAATGAATTGAAACAATTTTTCCCCTAAAGCCTATTGGACGGATTGCAGGAACACATGTTAAATATTCTTTGATATAAAATAAAAACGAAATTTGGTTGAAGTCTGTGACTCACTGTCTCAACTCATGGAGAGGATTGAAATCAAATGATAATTTATAATTTGTGTTATTAAAATTTACATTGGGAAGTGTAAAAAAATGTCTCTAACGTAATACAATACATAATGAGTTTAATGTGAACAGGAGTTAAAAAAGCAGTATTGATAACATTATAATACTTACTGGCTGTGATTTCCTTTTCCTTGTAAGTATAGCCCTTATCTCAATTTATGTAATGTAATGTAAATACTTAAACCAAACAATTAAATAATATCTGATTGTGATAAAAAATTTTTCTGTAAAAAAAAAAATCATATTATTTTTAGTCACACTATGAAATGATTTTGACAGAATGTCACATAAAATAAAGAGAAAGATTATGTATAATAAAACTACGCCATTTAAGATTATAGTTAATTAACACTGAGAACATGTTTAAAATTATCTATTTGCAGTGAACAAATCCAATCATCTAACATTTTATAATTTTAAAGAATTAATAATCTTTACATTGCAGTAATTGGAAATTTATGTAAATATGTTAATGTATTGTTAAAAAATTCAAAAACATTCCATAACATAATATTCAAAATTTTATTGTTACGTTCTATGAAACCATTGAATGATTCTAAAAACAACTGACCGGTAGTTTTTAGATTCACTAACATTAATCTGTATTACTATGATTCATATGAATATTTCTGAGGTATAATGATATGTTAATTAAATTGTGCTTTGTTAAAATTGTAGATTTGTTGTGGAGTACAGTTTTGGAGTAGCAAGCTTAGAGATAAAGTCTGTAATTGCATCTGATGCTGGACAGTACACTTGTGTTGCTATAAATCCAGCTGGTCAAGCCGCAACAACTGCTACTCTAAGAGTTAATACAGAACATTGGCAAGGTATATACATTTATTTGAAAATTACTTTATTGATGTGTAATAATAAGATGTTTACAATCAGGAAGACAATCATTGTGTATGCATTCAAAAATTAAAAATAAGATTTATCATATTGATATATCCTATATATATTATTTCACCAAGCTCTGAAATTGATTTTGTAAAAAATATAATGCTCTAATGCCATACATGGGGTAACAATTGGATCCAGTTTTACCTAAAGTTAGTAAATTGCTCTCTCAGTTTTTTTGTTGTTTCCAAAACAGTATTTATTATTTATATTAATTGGTATCTGATTTTTTATATTCATGTAAAAGTAGATCAAGATGGGTCATATTGGATTTTATAGATTTTAACCCAGGCATTCCTAAAATCTACTGTTTTCAAGATGATTCTCACTTATCACATGTTGTTGATTAGGTCCCTGTGAAAATGATATAGGAGACAGTATGTCTTCTTCCCCATTAATAAATTTAAAGATGAATTCTGTATAAAATTTATTGGGTTTCTTATTAGCAACTGAAATATTACTGTGGATTTGTAGTTTTCTGATTATTTAAAAAACTAATTGAAAGTGATTAGGTTTGCATGGGAATGGATGAATTATCATAGAAACTATGTATATATTATTTCTCAAAGTTCTTTTTTGTTGGTAAGCCTAATTTCATTATTACTTTACAAAATCCAGTGATTGAACCATCATTTTGAATATTATTTCTTCCTTTAGTACAAAAAATTGCAGCCCCCAGAAAAAAAGCAAGAAAACATTATTTAGAAAAGAAAACTTTATTTGCACATTATTTAAAAAGTATAAAAGTTAAGATTGATTATTGATGATACATTAATCTTTTGAAAGTTTTTAAAACTCCTTACATTAAAAAAAAAATTACCAAAGTTGGAACATTCTTAGTAAAGATACAGCCTATTGAAATTTATTCACATGTTTTGGTTTATTATTTTCAAAATTAACCATAGTAAGTGACTTAGAAGAAAAAACAATTCCTCCTCTCATAATAAACTGAATTTACTTATTTCCATTTGTTCATTGACCGATATGGCTTAGCAAGTTTTTTATATAGTTTTTAATAAATTATTCACACAGGCCAACAAAGCAAAACAACTGTAAGCTCTTAAATGTTTAACACCAAGTTTTTTATCAGTAAATAATTCATGAGTTGTCACATCAGGATTGTTTTGCCATTAGGAGCTATGTTGTGCAGATAAACTACTTCATTTAGAGCGTCAGCCCAAAACTGTTCTGGTAAGCCTCCATCCGCCATAAGGCGCAAAGCATAAGCCCTGTCTCCATAATGCCCTCCACATAAGCTCACTCCACATCATTAATTTGTGGGGAATAATATACAGTATGCTAATGCTAAATACGTTTCTGAAAGAAATAATTTTTAAACTTCTGATTTTCCAACTCAGGACCATTGTCAGATCTTAGTATTCTTAACTTACATGAGGTCTGATTTTCTAGATTTGTTCAATCAAGAAAACCAGATTCTCATAAACTTCTGCCTTGCTGTTCAAAATTTTTACAAAATCTTTTTGGAAAAACTGTCAACTAATAACATCAAATGTTACTAGTAGCTAGTTTGTGTTACCAAATGTTAAGTGAAGCTGTTCACAAAAATCCACCAAAACTCTATCCAGGTCTCTTGATGCAGTTTCTGTATCATTGCGATTGAACTTCTTCCTTGAAATTTCCCCAGCAAGACAAGGTTCACACATGCCTAATTCCCAGTCTTAATTTACTCAAACTGACTACCAAGTTTTTATCAGCCATAACATCGAGTTTTCTTATGCTAACATGGTCTATTATCCTATGCCATGATTTTCTATCCACTGTTCCAGGTTTAAGGCAAATATCTTCTCCTTTACTACCGTAAGACTTGTCAAATCTGATAATAAATAGGCTATTTTTTAGTCACCTGAGCACACCAATTCACCATCATTAGTTACTACCTCAGTTCCTTTCTGAGAAAGAATGACTTTATGATCCTTTTCCACTATTTTGGGCACAGACAGTACATTATCCTGGTACAACCAAACATCCTGAAGGTTAATGTTATTCTCAACCCTTCGGCCAACAACTGTCACCGTAATATTTCCTCTGCATGATGAGATAATGCCCCTGCCATTTTTCTTATGATCTTCATTGATAAATAGTTCATTGATATAAAGTTCATTGATTCGTTGATTCGTTGATGGCATGCTTTGAACACTTGATCATTTCTACTAGATTTACTTCTTCCTTCAAATGACAAATGAACGTTTGTCTCAGTTCGATAAATTTAAGGTATCTATTTTTCCTCTTTTCTCCTCTAATTGATAGAAGTATATCACTACTTATAGCCAATATGGTGGTAGACAAAACTTCTTTGTTATTCTTCTCTCATTTCTTCTTCCATTTTCTTCTGTGGGCTGAATTCACTTTTCTATTATATCTTCATACATGCCTTCTGCTTCTAAATACACTTCTATTTTCATGGACCAAATTCCATAATTCTTTGCTGTCAAATTTCAATGCTGAATACTGTTACATCTATTGTCCGTTGTTTTCTATGGCGATCAGTCCGAAATAAAAACAAAAAAACTCGCATATATGTTAATATAATTGTATACTATCTCAACATGAACTTTCTAAAACACTCAATCATGCTCTGCTACCAGATTGTTATGAGATCAAGGAGTATTAAAACAAAAACAGTCAAAATTCAATGCTACTGTAATCTATGCCAGTTGTGAATTTACTCAAGCCTAGAATGCTCATATTACTCATCGGTCTAAACCAGTGTTACTACTTTTATTGTTATATTTATTTATAATTTTCCAATTATGTACATCAATCAAATACATATAACATTTATATAATTAACAAATAAGAAATAATGAAATAATTTTCCTCAACAATTTTTCCAGGGATGGAAGAATATGGACTTTCTCAGGAAATAAATCTTCCATTGAGGGTGCCCGAAGTTAGTCCCAGGGTTACTGGTCTCATTGCAGATTCTCTAGTTCCATCAGGTGGTGTAATTGCACTACATCTTCAGATCCAAGGCAAGTCACATTTAATGTCATTATTTTAATGTAAAATGTTCATTGAAAATTTTATTATCAACCATGTTAGCTTTTGCTATTTTGATATTACCAATAAATGTATCTTCAATACTATATCCTATATATTTCTTATCACCGAATTTTCTCTATGTGGAGCGGAAGGCTATTTCGTATCAATGCGATTTGATAGGGGGTAGAAAAGCAATGGAAATAATATTTAATACAACCAAAATTCTGGAATGATTCATAACAAAAACATTTCAACGATATTCAAACAAATCAATGATTCAATGGATTGAGTGAGACTAAATTTAGAAAGAAAGTATTCCCAAACTCATGTACCTTATAAAGACAATCCTGAAAGGCAAAGGGTTCATTGTACTAATCAAAAAGAGGTTTACAGCATGTGAATACTATTTCTTATTTAGATTTTAACTTCTCCATGGGGAAAGCAATAAGTATCAATCCAACAATTTAATTTGGAAAGATTGTTTATTTATTTTTTACATATGTTTATAGTACATTCAGAAAGTTGGAAAGTTATTCATTAATTTTTTGATTGTTCCTACTTTTTTTGGAACCGCCATTTTGCATTGGTGTGTCAGCTTATTTATCATTTTCCATAGGTTTGCATTGAACTGTTGTTCCTTGTTTCTTGTAAGTATTTGATTCAAACATAAATCATGTTATAGGAATTAAAATTAACTATGTTTTTAGTGCAGTATGTATAGGCCTCTACTTAATTATTTATAAAAATAAAAAAATAAAAAATAAATGTTAACATTTTCAAACTAAAAATTTTCTTTTTAAAAATTAAAAACGTTAAATAAAAACCAAGACTCATCTTCATTTTTTTTTGTAGATATAGTTTTTACAGTTTACTAATTCTCTGAAAATTTCAAGGCCTGAGTGTTACATCCCTTTTTGTAATTTTTCTAAAATCTGAAATATCTCAAAAGGGACATGAATTGTTATTAAAATTTTAGAAAATATTACTTTATTATGTTGCCATAAGTGGTTAGAATTTTGTTACAAAGGCTTTATTATATTTTAGGAAGAAATGTTTAATTTTTTTTTTTCTGTTGGCATTACAGACCATGTAATGCCAACAGAAAAAGTCTTTTGCCGCCTTAACAAGGCTGCCCCATCTCTGCCTGTCTTGGAATATTTTTTTCCATTTATCTGCACGCAGCTCAGTTGCATCTTTGTTGATTCAATCTATCCATCTGCTTTTTGGCCTTCCACATGGTCTTTTGCCTTCTATTGAGACATTCATTGTTACGTAGAGGATGTATTGCTACTAGCCACATGCCCCATCCATCTTAACTTCCATGCATTCATATCATGGGATATTGATTGACCAGCTTCTGTAAGCAGTTCTTTATTGGTCTTTCTTCTCCATGTGTTAGTACTCTGATCCCAGATCGCTCTGGTTATTGTGTGGAGGATTTTCCTGCTCTGACTCTGTTATCAGTGTTGTAGCGAGTTTCTCAATGTCTTCTTGATTACTTCCAAAGATAGCTATATCATCTGCGTATCCAAGGATTCTATGATGTTTGTATATAGTTGAAATAAAAAAATATTATTAAGTGGTAATGTTACATAGCTTATAGTAAAAAAAACAACACACTATCACTTTTATTGTCACATAAAATACATAGTACATTATATATTGTCATTTCATTCCATATCTTAAGAAATCCTCATTCTTTTAAGCAGTTTTCCACTGTGAATTCTTGATTTTTTATATTACTTTTAATAGTTATCATTTCTGATGATATAAGTTTCTATAGGAGCTTATTTTTTGGAACCTACATTTTGTTATTTTTAGAGGTTTGGAATAAGGTTGTAATACCATATTTGATGGAAAAAGTGAATAAGAAGTTGTTATTTTTTCCTAGCATTTTCTCTATTCTCCTGAAACAACATTTATTATCCTAAATATTGTACTGTATCTTTTTTTTTTTCAAATGAAAATACACTATGGTCTGGAAATACTGAAATATTCCAATCAGTAAATTTTTTTGAGCACATATTGGATCTGATCTGTGTTTGACTTGGAAGTAAAAATATGATCATTCTTTTGACATTTCTTACTTCCATCCATGGCGCTACAACGCATTGTGGATACTGGTCTTTCAATATGCTTCAATCATTCAGCTTTCTGTCTTGTGAAGCTGTTTTCCGATTTCGGGTCCCTAGAAGGCTTCTCATGTTAGCCGTTACCCCATCCATCCACCACAGTTTCAGTTGTACATCTGTCCTGGTGTTGCCCAGGATTTTCTAGAGGATTCTGTTTCAGTCTTTTATTTATTTGTTTATTTAAATTTTTGTTCTCCCTACCTGCCCATTTCTGGCATATGGGATGTCTCTACTTCTCCCATCTGTAACATGTGACCCACTATATTAGTCTCCTTAGTTTAACAACTCTAACTACATCAGCATCTTGAACAGTGTCCAGGTCTCTGATGCATAAGCGAGTGCTAAGGGGTTTATGAAATCAGGACTTGTTTTGTCTTATGATAAGCCTACTCCGTTAATTCTTGGTAGAACCAAATCTCTTCCTTGCTGCAAATATATTCTTAACTTCTCCTTATGTGTCATTCATGAAGTTAATCAGTGCTGCTTGGTAGGTAAATTCTGTGATCTTGAATTTTCATGACACAATAGTCACTCTCCACTTCCATGGTCCTGCACGAATTCTAATATACATATATTTAATCTTTTTCTTATTCGCTATAAAACCCATGAATGTGGTTTTTGGATATGCCAGCTAACAAAAGTTAATCAATAGTGGAAATGGTGGGGATAGGGTTAAATTATATAGGATTTTTTTTATCTACTTACTAACTGTTTATACATTAATTTTAGGATGCCCTAGAGCAGAAGTGACATGGTTACGAGAAGGTGTGCCACTCAAATTCTCACCACGAACCCATACTCTTGTAGATCCTTCGATGGGTCTCCATACATTTTTAGTTGAAGGTGTTACAGTGTCTGAAAGTGGTCTTTATCATTGTAGAGTACTTTCAGGTTCCTCTCGTCTTCTTGAACCTGCTCCTGCCCACATTCAGGTTGGTTACTCACATTATTTAAATTATAACATAACAGTTAATCCATAAATAACAAATTAAAAAACAATATAACTTATATAGAATATATTTCAATGTAGGTAGTTGAGAGAAGACCAGGAGATAAACCGGCATTGATAACTGCTCGGCCAGAAACCAGGATAACACTGACCTCTGGGGAGGATCTTACATTAACATGCTATGTCTCTGGAGAACCAAAACCAAGAGGTAATGATTTTTTTTCTTTACCAGTAACCCTAGAATGACACACTTAAACAAGTCAACTCATTCTGACACTGGGGTGTCATACACCCCAAACTTTAAATTTAATTGTCATGCTCTGGAAGACTCAAACACTTTTCAGAAATGAGCTAAACAACCAAGAAAAAAAAAATAATAAATTCAAGGTAACCTAAGAGAATATATTTTATATGCTAACATAAAGTAAAGAGTAAACATTTACATTGTTAAAAAATCAAAAAAAGATCAATATTTTTCTATTGAAAATACAATAATTTTATATCAATTAAATATATATGTGTGGAATGTAAAATATATATACATAATAGAGGAAACAAATATTTTTTTGCTTAAAAAGATAATAAATGGGGGCCATTTATGTGACCACTCACTCACAACAATCCAAGCAAACTGTCACCCTGTGTTCATTGCTGATAGGTCTCTTACATTGTTGATGAACCATTTTTGTCTTTATTTCTTTCTCTCTTGTGCAAAAAAAAATATTTGGATTTTTTTTCCAATAGTAGTCATTTATTTTTTAATTCTCAAATTTGCTTTTTTGTAATACATCATTTGTGTCAGTGTCTCTACTTGCAGTATTCTTTTCAAGCAGGGCTCAAGTAATGAATAGCCTAATCCAAATAAATAATTTCTCCATTTCATCTTCTTTCCTCAGTTAACTAAGCGGAACAATATCATGCAGTTTATACTAGCATGGTTCAACATTCCAAAGAAAAATCGGAAAGACAGCCTCCTTTTTTTTCTTGCTGTTAACACACATGACACATTTGATCAAAAATTACAGTGCCATCTTTATTTAATATGCTCCATGCAACTTTTCTTCATCTTCTAACTCCCATAAAAAATTATGGATATCGTCAGAAGAAGAATACATTTTCTTGATAGTTGCCATACTTAAAAAATAGTTTATAGACATTACTGTCTGAATTGAAAATAACACTAATTAACAAATATAAAGTTATAAATCCACACCTGAATTATTTGAGGTTTCAGAATAACAAAGATAACACTGGGATACAAAATCCACAGAACAATTGCATAGACAGCACACTGGAGTGTGAGGCACCCAGGAGTGCCACAATAAACTACACACTGGGGTGCACTAGCAGATCTAGCTGGGGGGCCCGTGCCCCCCCTGGAGCTGGAAAAAATTCCAAAAAACAGCTATTTAAAGAACAGAGAAGTAGGGAGAATTCATCCTCGTAGATGATGAATTTCCTAATATAATATAAAAGAAATTATTATCGTGACCAGCACTAGTGAATTCTGTCAGGAGGCATGGAAGGGCATGCCTCCTGATAGAATTCACAGATTTCACTGGATGGTGGAAAAAAAAATCTGAAAAAAAATGACAAAAACAGCTGTTTAAAGAAAAGAGAAATGTAGGGATAATTTATCTCCATACACTAATTTCCTAATGTAATATAAAAAAAAATTATTATCGTGACCAGCACTAGTGAATTCTGTCAGGAGGCACATCCTCCCTTGGATGGTGGAAAAAAAATCCGAAAAAAGTGACAAAAAACACCTATTTAAAGAAAAGAGAAATGTAGGGAGAATTCATCTCCGTGCATGAATTTCCTAATGGAAAAAATAATTGTTATCGTGATCAGCACTAGCGAAATCTGCCAGGGAACGCGCCCTCCCTTGGATGGTGAAAAAAAATTCCAAATAACACCTATTTAAAGAAATGAGAAATATAGGAAAAAATCATCCTCATAGACGAATTTTCTAATGTAATATAAAGAAAAGTTATTATCATGACCAGCACTATTGATTTCTTCCAGGGGGCACGTCCCCCTCTAATTAACATCTATTTAAAGAAAAGAGAGATGTAGTTTTTGGGCCGCCATGAGACGTGAAGGCTTTCACTTGTAATCTCCTTGAAGAATCCATGCGAATCATAAAACTGGTCACGATAATAAGTTGTATATTTCTCATTAGAATGTGTTGTTCTTTTATTAAAATAGCTGCTGTTGGGAACGTTTTCATGAAGGAATGTATTAATTATTTGGTCGCCGATTTGATCGAAATCTGATTATGATCGGAATCGGAAATTATTCTGAGTTTTTTTTTTTAGATAACTCATTTCTAAGCTGCAGGGCAATATACAGTAATCTTTCTCAGATTTTGACAATATCGGTAAAAAATAACGTTCATTGACTTCGGTTACCGACCATATCACTTAATCAAATTATTAAGTTTTGGTACCCATTCAATGAACAATTTGATGTTTTTTAATTTCCTAAAGAATACGTTTTTCGCTTTGGTACACTGTTTAGTAGTAATACATGAAAAAAAAGATTAGATAAATCTGGAATTTTTGGTTGTAAAAAGTTTTATCTTAATGACCCGTGTTAGCAATTTAGTTTTTTAAATGTCTAAACCCAAATACAGGATGTCTCGTAAGTAGAGGAAAATATTTAAAGGAGAGATAGCAAAACTCAATAAATACAAAAAAGTTTATATAAACAATAGTTCGATGTTTAGCAGGAAAGTAGGGAATTAAAGTTTTGTAATTTTTTATGTGCCCTGTTTTTTGTTGAATAGGAAGTGTTAAAAAAAAATATTTGATTTAAGTAATTAATTATACCTTCACTGTAAACTAGTTAAAATTTACTCTAAATAAAAATAGAGTTTGCTTTTGTTAAAACCATTTAAAGAGGACTTTTGAGCGGCTAAACTCAGCAAGGAGTGGGAGGAAATGGGTAGTGGTATGGAAAGCACGTGGTACAGGGGTTCCTCTCCTCCCCTGAGAAAATTCCTGGATCCGCCACTGCCTGGCTGTGGAATATCCCATATTGACTTTTGATAACTCCCAATAATGATATAAGCCCAACAATGGACTGCTAATAACTGTAATTAGGCTGGCTATGTTTGATGTTTATTTATATGAGTAAACTTGGCCAAAGAGCTACTTATATAAAAGTAAATTAATATTGAAAATGTTGTGGGATGTGTCACACCCAAGTGTGTCGTTCTAGGGTTAAATTATGAGTCTATTATTCAGGCAGAATGATTTTTTAGTTAACAGAAACTTAAAAAAAGATATGTTCATTAATGGTTTAATAAAAAAAATGAGATAAAATTTAGTCTAATTGTGCATTGCAATATGTAATATGCAATCTATTTAAGCTGAACAAAGCTGTGATAAAACCTGTTAGTGAAATAGTTTTGTGACTTCGAGTTGTATGCTTAGTCATTTCTTGAACTCTACTTGATCATTCTGTCAATGTTTACCACTAACGGATCCAGGATTTAATTTTGGGAGGGAACTTCAGCCCAAAAAATTTTTTTTGTATAAATATATTAGGATAATTACTTTGAAAGAAAGAAAGAAACTATATGAAATGGTCTTTAAGTGATTATTTAAGTTCTATTAACTATAATTAGACGAACATTAATACTTTTAGAGATAATTTTTTCATAAAATATGGTTATATTTTACCATTTTGAGGGGAGCTTCAGCTTGAAAGTCCCTCTCCCTCCCCCTGTAGATCCACCCGTGGTGTTTACTGTATCAAGGAATGTTGTTTGAGATGTTAGTGTTATTTGGTTAAAAGTGTCAGTCAGGACATTTTTTATATCAATAACACAGTAGTGAGAAAATGATAACACAAGATAGACACTAGTGGAGTAAGTTTGTGGAGGTGGTAAAAGATTTAAATGGGTTTTAATGTTAACAGAAAAAAATAAAATAAAATAGTATGAAACTAAAATCTCGGTTTTAATCATTCCTTACAAAAGTAATGATGGTTTTAATTTAATGAGTTTTAGGCCCTAAGTATTTGAAAAACTAATAAAAAAATTCTAAATTATTTTTAAATGGTAATCACCTGTTTTTTTTCTAGTGATGTTAATGAAAGGTATAAAGGATATAACAGATGGTGAAAGAACATTGAAGGAATCGTTTGGAGAATATATAAGGCTTACTTTGAAGAGAGCTTTACCCGAAGACAGTGGAACCTACTTTATAGTTGCAAGAAACCCTTATGGAACTGACAGAGCTTTTTCTACTGTAAAGGTATTTATTTTAATCAGTTACATTTTTCTTAGTTTAAAATTGTAATTGGATGATTAATCCTCTTTATATTTATTTTGTTTCCCCAGACAATGTTTAATTATAAAATTGAATCCCATAATAAGTTTCAGAAATGATTTCTAAGTACTATTTTTAAAAATGTATTTTCAAAACATTTTTGGCAAGTTATGAACAGTGGCATCACTTAAGTGTTTTTGGGCTTCAAATTACATATATACAAATTATATAAAAATCTTAATGTACAAATTGTATTTATAACAATCAAAATAAAACTGTAATTCAATAAAAACTTTGTGAAGGTATGATTTCAGATGCTCTGAGAATTATACCATGAAATATTTTAACATTAGTAAATCTATTTTTGGGAATAAAAACTTATCTAAGGCTCTAAATATGATATGGTTAGGCTGTGTTAATCGTACCATCCCTGCATCTACTGGCCCGAGGTCATCTTGTCAAGCCCAGGTCCAAGCTCTACCAACGCACCATCTCTCCGGTCTGTGTTGACCATCTCTTCAGTCCCCAAGGCCGGAAAAAAACACAAGACGTTTAGTTTTTTCATCCACGAGATTTTATACTAATATTCAGGGTGGGGCAAGAATGATTTTGATTGGTTTTCAACTTCGGCGGCTTTAAAAATTATTTTAACTGGCCACACCCTACCCTAAAAGGAACCAGTTATTTAACCTGTTACTAGTTACCAGTTACTCTAAGAAAAGGCCTTCCTCCAAGCCCTCGGTCCTTAGGTACCTGATCTCCACCTCCATGCTGTCTTCGATGTCAGCAGATGTGTTTGATGTCAGCATATTTTAATTTTGTTTTCGGCACCTCGTAATGATTTTAAAAGATAATTTGCTATGTTCAATACATAGCAGAAGATTGGTTGGAAAACCACCATACATTGTGAGGAAGTATGGAAACCGATATCCAGAAAGACCTATTTCGCACTTTCAAAGAATGAATTTGATTAAGTAGTCAAGAAACCAATGCTAAATGACTTGGAATGTAATTACCCACATCCAATTGTTTCTTGTATGTACATTTTATATTTATATGTTGATCCTTGGCTTGGAATTGAATGTAGGGCCCTATCTGGGCATCTAATTTTCTAAAAGGATACACAAGGATTGCAGTTCCTTCAGAATTTTAAGTTTCTTTGAAATTATCTTTCTATGACCATGTTAAATGTATTTATTATGCAAATTTAGTTATGTTGCTTTACTTATTAATTATTAAATCATATACACTTTATATCATTAATGAAATCATAGAGCTATTCCATTTTCACTTATTTTAATTTTTGTTTTGGTTTTGATAATAAATTTTATATAGGTTGTCAACCAAGTAGAACAACCAACAGTTAATACAACTGATGACTCATCTGAAACCACTCCTCAAAGTATACCTAATTAAAAAAGGAATTTTATAATTTTAGGTACAGGTTTGTAGAAAAATTAAATTCATCACAGCATGATTATTATTCCTGACCGAACCTTCAGATGAAGCATGCTGGATATAATATATGCACTTAAGATTTACTTCCTAGCAGGCCCAAAATTTATTATTACTAATACTGAAAATTTGTATGAGGTAATGGCAAGTTTAAGCCTTGTGACTGTTGATGTCCTTAGAGAAAAAAAAAAGTTTTAGCGTGCATTTTTCTTTCCTCTTCATGCACTTACAAATATGTATGTAACTTAAAAATCAAACCTATTAATAATTGCAAATAACTAACAAGATAATTAAGTATATTTTAACTATCACTGAAATTATAGAACTCTATAAAGTGAGAATATTATTTTTGCGAATGATGAATTACAGAGCTAGGAACTAAAAATTGGAAAGTTGGCATTAAAATGCTAAAATGCTAAAATAAATAAAATAATAAAAACTTCTTATTTAGTAATAAACACTTTTAGAAATTAAATCAACTAGTTCATACCAGGAGTTGAAATTTACATAAATAGTTCAGTTTTAACAGTTTCTGTGAAATTTTTTAGAAAAAATTCTTAAAATAAAAGTTCCAAGGAACTTTGTTGTTATGAAGTATCAGATATATAATAAAAGTTTAACTTGTACTTAGTAAAGCTTTGAAAAACAAAAATTGGGCTTAGGTTAGAGTTATAATTTGTCTTCAATGAATTGTACATGATTCTAATCTGTCATTTGTTTGAGTAGCTAAGATTTTTTTCAGTCATTTTTTAATTGAATTTTTTTTAGCAAAGTGGACAGAACTTATAAAAAAAGTTTTTTAAAAATAAAATTTCTGCAAAACCTTTACTTGAAGAGTTACAAGAAAAAAAGTTCTAGTTCCAATAGATATGAAAAAATTTTGAAAATAAAAATTCCAGTGGTATCGAAACTTTTTTTATAATTTTTTTTCCGTTTCAAGCTCTGGTTCATATTGTTAAAAAATATGAGAATCTCATTGGTCGAATATAAAGAAAAGTTCAATCAATGGATGAAGATCACTTTAATTCTTTCTATAAAAAAAAAAAAGAACACCTTGCAGGAAATAAGGAACAGAACTGTGGTCAGATGGAATCACAAATGTCCCTCATGAACCTCCTCTCTCTTTTTCATAATAAATTCTTGATTGTATCTTTACTTATGCTAGGAAGATTATAATTAAGTTATATCCATAATTAAAATTAAAAATAAATTTAGATCAGTTAAATCTCATGAGTGTTAATTAAATTACTACTATCTGTTGGTAGGATTTAAAAAATGATCAGAATATATTTATCTTTGAGATAATGTGTACAATTGTTCATTTCCAAACATATTTTGGGCGTCTGTTAGTGGGAATTTTACAAATGTTATTATATATTGAGCAAAATAATTTTTTTTTCAAACTTAGCCCAGGTATGTAGTAGATATCTACTAGCAACACTCAGTCATATATAACTATTTATAGGTTTTGTTTGTATTACACTCTTCATTTATCTTTTAGATGTCTGATTTAATTTTAGTTGTGATGATGATCCACAAGCTTGGATTAAAACGTAAGCATTCCTAATAACAAAAAAATGACTGATAATACTGACCATTTATTATTGATGGTATATAAGGGCATTTAAGAAAACTACTTCTGCTTAGGTTTCCTGTAGGGATTTTTCCCTCACTAATTTTAGTTTTGTTTTTTCTTTTGTACAATATTTCAGTCATATTTCATTCAAGGTTTACAATCATTCATAAATTTATATTTTCTCCTTACTATTTAATTTCGAGAAATATTTTTAATTTAATTGAAATGAAAACATAGCTCACACTTTAAGGTGTTATTAAATAATTTTAGAGACTTTTTATTTTTTCAGATACGGGAACGAACACGGTCTTTAACTCCAACAAGACGAGAGAGGTCTTCTTCAGTGTACAGAGAGACATTATGTAACGGGTCTAGTTACCTCTCGATGTCATATTTTTAATTGCAAAATTATATCATTTGCTATTGTTTAGAGTGTTGTTTATAGAAAGAAAAAAAAGGAAGCTTGTTACGAGGGGGTAGCCATATATTTTTTTAAATAGAAAAATATTTATAAAAAAAAAATTAAAAGTTGAATGGAAAAAAATGTAATAAATAAAAAATTGTATGCATTTGTGAAGAATGGACTTTTGAAGTATTGAATATAGATTCATAGATGAAGAGGAATGAAAGAAATTCTTATTTTATTTTCAAAGGTATATTTTTATTGTTTTATCAATCTATCTTGGTATGATTGGTTTGATAGTTTTGTATTTTATTTTAAACATTATTAATTTTGTTTAAGAATGGCTGTTAAATGAGTGTATATATTATAACTGAAACATATAGAATTTAGAACAAATGGATATGTATATATTGTAGAGTGCAAATTAGAAGATATATCTAATGAATATTCTGAAATTATCTTTATTTATTAAATTAGTGTTCATAACAGGGTTCTTTGTGATAAAAGCTGTGTAATTTTATAAAAAAATTAAATAATTTGTTATTATTGAGGTATTTATTTACATTTGTCGCATAAATGAATAATAATAAGAAATTTTCATTTTCAAAATATATTTATTTTTAAAAAGTTTCACAAATACAAGTATTTCAACTCATTTATTCATTGAATATGCAATTCTGTTAGTACAAGTTTATAAATAAATCATAGAAAAAAAAAACAATAAATCCTTATTCAAATATTCATTCCTATTTTGTCCTCTGAAAATAAACGTCACACTAAAAATAATTTTGTAATGAAGATCTTCAGATAAACTTAAAAATTAATTCAACAACAACGTGTTTGTATTGCAGCAATTAGTGGATAAATTTTCTATCGATGAATAAAGACTGCAAATAGATGATATTATGGTCTTAAGACACACCTTAAAAGCAAAGCTGTTTTCAGTACTGCATCTATAGTGCTCTATAGTGATGTTGATTGAAAGCAACACTCAAATTCTGAGCTGATGGCTCTTTACCATGATACAAATATCACAAACATCATTAAAATAAGTCTACTACGGTGGGTGGAACTCGGAAGAATGGACCTTCGAGCATTTTAATTGATTTGATCCTCATCAAATCCTGAGGAAGATGTTGGATGAATGGCTTTGCATGACAGAGAGATGGGTCGGCGGACTGAGGCTGCACTGGGTTGATGGTGTGGAAGATGATGCTTGGTCCATCTTTGGTATCTGGAACTGAGGAGCAGCATAACAGAGAGATGACTAGTGGTCATTGTTGCAGGCAGCCTTGTTCCCTAATGGGTTGTAGTGCCAGTTAAGAAGAAGAAGAATACGTTGTATATATTTAGCGGTAAAAATTTTAATCAAAATAAAAGTCTTAAGTCATCATAATAAAATGTTTATACTTATTTACATATTAAAATAAAATCGATATATCCTCATTATTCTCTCAATTAATGTGAAAGGAAGAGTATAAGGAGAAATGGAAGTGACGCAATTTTTGACTTTTGGACTATTTAAATGGTAAACATTCTAAAATTCTCAATTCTAGAAAGTCTGAGGCAGCAGGGTGCACTCAAAAGGTCCTTTCTTTGGTTTTTTACTTATACTGTGGAAACTATGCATCCTAATGGTAATGGTGTTCTATATAAAATTAAAGTTGCCAAATGATCCACAAGATTAACTCTATTAAGTTGTTCACATTCTTGCATTGATTCCATTTAGTTTAAACAGCCAGAGAAACAATTGTGAGATGTAGGATACTGGATCCACATTTGGTGTTGGTAGAATCCTTTTTGGCAATCAAAAATTGTTTTTAATTTTTATTTTCGTAAAGCTTCTTGTACACTGTGAATTAGCTACTAGAAGTTTGTTGGTGATTAGCTGCACGGATGTAACAAGTATATCTTTGGTTGCTAAAATGATCTCTTTGTAGAAAACTTACTTTGTCTATTTCCTCGATCCATTCTCATCGAAAAAGACTTATTGAAGGTTATAGATCATATTACAAATAATTTTGAAAGTTTTGCTTTTGTTGATTAAGGATATACCTTATAAAACACAAAAGGATCTTCATACACCAAAAGGCCATCCTACAGAGATCGCTGTTACAGCCACTTGATGGGATAAAAATAACCAGTTATAGTAACTCAAAGTCTTTAACATTAATAATATTACATATTAACATATAACTTCTTATTGTGCCACTTGTATGCTTAGAACTAATTATATTGTACATAGACCGCAACTTTAGATATCAACAACTCTGGTCGGATAACTTTTATCTTCTTCCTCAAACTTTATAAAATTTTACAGGTTCAAGCTTTAGGTTTAAATTCACATCTGCAACTAAATTCAATGAATTTTTAAGGATGGAGGTTGTTAGTTTTTTTTTTTTGTACTTATTAAATGGTAGTTGAAGTATAATATGACTTGTTACAACTACTGTTAATAAAATATAAGTTATAGCATACTATATATTATTGAACTACTTTGAAATCTATTTCATAAATACTTTGTTTTAGTCTAAGTAATCAATGAAAGACAAGGCTCAGACCGATCTCGATTCAAACTAAAAAAAAAACATAGGTTTAGAATTATACACTTTAGATTTTATTTGTCAGAAATTTTATTTCTTTATTGAATTATTTGAATATAAGGGTGTCCAGAAGGGATTGCATTACGCAAGTTGTGCCACTAAAATTTTTGAGGGTGGTACATCTTTTTTAATTTTAGCCCCAATATTATAAAGTAACATTTTTCAACACTAGGAGTATTCCCTGTCCGCCTAATGTCGGATGAACCCCCACTTTACAAATTATACAAATGAAAAAGGTGTATGAAAGTCAGAAATTGTTAAACTAGAGCATAGTTGAAATCTAACATCCTGAACAGTTAAAAAAAAATCTTATCTGAATGATGGGATTAGGAAGCAGTATCCGGAAACCTGCACTAGTTGGTGTTCAGCAGACTTTCCA